TCCTACTGGACGGTGGGTTTGTCCTCGATGTACTTAAGAGGGTAGATGACTTGATCTTCACATGTTATGAATTGCAGATAGGCGACTAACGATGGGGCGACATAGCACCCGACCTATTAGTTCGTGCACCCACGAAGGTGCATAGCATGTAGTTATAGATAGGGCTACCTGGGAGTCAGAGGGACCTGACCGCCAGCTAGGGGGGCGAGTTGTGATACCTTTGTGTGTGGACACTCTCGTTCCTTGTGTATATGTGTGAGTTGTGAGTAGAACATGTGAGCGATGTATGATGCATGGCGATACCGAATCGCACGACAGCTGTCATGTGTATCGACGTTGGTGTCGATTTGAGTTCAGACACGTTAGATTTGAGTTTGAGGGGAGATATTCGTTGGGACGCCATGCACGTTGAGACGTTCTACACGTTGGGGTCGACGACCCTGAGTTATATGCGAGGCGAACTCGAAGAACTGTCAATTCTTCGAGTTGAGCCTTAGGCGTCAGGATTCTTCCCATTAGTTTCGACTCTTATTCTACCTAAGTGTAGTGAGTTTGGCTCGACTAGTGTACCTTGTGTTTTGACTATTATGATATTATGTTTTTAGTTGTGATAACTTTGTGTGTGTACATTCTCGCTCGTGTATATGTGTGAGTTGTGAATAGAGCATGTAAGCGATGCATGGCAATACCGAGTCGCACGACAAAAGATATACTAATATTTTTAGAATATGTACTGTTTATAAAGTTTTGAAGTTCAATGTGAGTAACGGGAGCATGTCACTCGGTTATACTCTAGATAACCTCGCCATATAATTTTATAGTGCATGAGTCGTTGCCAATTGCATCCGGTCTGTCCGTGCGTAGGTAGGACTGATGGTCATGCAGAAAAAACCAGTCCAACACACCTGGAGTATGGTGGCGACTAGCGATCCCCTTCTCGTCCCCTGTCATCGGCCTAAATCTGAATCGAATCCGGTGGAAGATCTTCTAGATCTAATTTGAACAGCCGCTCGAGGCGTGCGTAAAGCTCCCCATTTGGACTGCAAGCGAGCGTGGCCAGGGCGGCAAGAAAGGCGGAACGAGAGGTTCCCTTCTTGCTCTTCGAAGGACCTCGCGAGAGCCACCCTTCCAGTTCATAAATGCGCCGCGTGATCGCTTCCGGGTCTCCGTGGGACAAGCACACGAATCTGCCCGCCAGACGATCCCGCCGTTGAGGAGTATCTCAGTGAAATCGTCCGTCTCACAAATTTGGGAGTCGTCGATCGCTTGGGCGGAAAACGTCCAGCAGATGACACGAGACCGAAGCGAATTCGATCTCCAAGCACCGAAACCTTTTTTTATCTAACAGACGTAGCTGACATTATGAACGGAGCCCGTGAAAAAGTTCACTGATTTCTTGCAGCCCAACACAATTCGCGCGCAGCGGGACTGTTGCAAATGAAATTTATGGGAAGATAAGGAACGTGAAGTGTCATGATTCATGACACTTCGGTTCATTCATACATGACTCATGAATGAACTTCACTGGAATATTAAATGAATGGAAGACGGCATTGCGTAAGTGGAACCTGCTAAGGAGCAGAAGAACGAGCAGACCGGCTGTCGTAATGTGAAAGAGTCTGCAAAACGGACGATCGTTACGTCGCGAGAAAGTCTTCCTGCAAGCATAAACTCATTGTCAATCCATAAGAGTCACATTTCCGTCATTTAGACTTGGCATCTTCATCAGTTGCTATCGAGTGGAAAGGTTTCTTTCTGTTCTAGACCGCTAGGGGCTGAGGCTATCTCGAACTCCGACGAGCCCAGGTGGAAACGAAGGTTCTTGATCGAGAAGCCGATGACGTTCATGGCGGAGGAAGATTTACAGAAAAGATCGTTCATCTCGAATCCGTGGAGTCTACGTCGTGCAGCATAAAACCCTTGATTTCCAGCTGCTGCTACTCCATTCCACGCCGATATTGATTTAGAACTCTGCTTTAGTCACCCAGTCACACCAGATTCTTGGTTATCAAAAATCTTCAGATCTGTGATGCCGATTGGGCAAGTCCACTAGAAGAACTTGAACCCACTTCAAAACTCGTCGAAACTTTTGAGATTTTTGCCAGACATGGAGATTTTACCGCTGGTATTCACTGCGATCGCAACGGTGGGTTTGTACGCTTGCTTCTATCGATGGGTTCAGCACCGGAACCTGAGAGGTCCCAGAGTATGGCCAATTCTGGGAAGTGTTCTCGACGTGAGCAGAAATCACTGGCGCATGCACGACTACGCCTATGATTACTGCAAGAAGTATTATCCGACATACGTCACGAAAATGCCTGGATTCAATTACGTCGTGACAGTAGATCCTGCGAACGTCGAACACGTGTTGAAGACCAATTTCAGTAACTACGATAAGGTACGCACGCACCCACACGCCCTCGACGTCAGCTCGTCAGCTCATCAGCTCCAAATCCAATTCTCCCGTTTACTTTGCCTTCTCTCGTCCGTGAAGACTCCATGCGAGCGTGTGAGCTCCTGGAATATTCCTAGGACTTCTTGCTTTTCATTTCCTGTAGAAGTACGACGATACATGAATTCTCTTGATTCTTCAGTTTCCGAACACGTGACATATACTTCGTAGGTCTCGAATTCTTCACAATATTTTACCCTTGCCCTTCAATGGTCAACCCCAGATGCAGATGGAGTAGCGCCCCGCCGCAGATAGTGATTAATCTGGACGATAAATGATTGTCGATGCGAGCGAAAGCCCGTACCGACTCTCCCATCGAATATGCAGTGTCGGTACGGGCTTTGCCAGGACCAGATAGAAAGTTCTTCGTGTTCTTAAAATATTGCCTGCTTTTCCGGAGTCTAATCGTCTCAATGATGCTAAGTTGACAGGGTGAAGAGCAACACCTTCATTTGGGCGATTTGCTCGGGGATGGGATTTTCAACGCTGATGGAGATATTTGGAAAAAGCACCGCAAAGTTGCAAGCTACGAATTTGCGTCGAAAGGTCTACGAGATCACAGCTTCCATAATTTTAAGAATAATGCTGTCAGACTCTGTCAGATTCTAGATCGAGCCGCAGAGGAGAACAAACCGGTGGACATGATGGTACAGTGTTCCTTCTTACTGGCACAGTGACCATAAGTTGTGAGAAGATGCAATGATGGTGAAGGATAATTTACACTTTCAGAAGAGAATTTCCATGCAGTCCTAAATGTACGTGCGTTGAGCATGCGTAATTATGTACAACCGCTGAGTTGCATACTTTGTAAGGGAGTGCAAACAATTTCCATGGGGAATTTGAAGTGGTAGGCTGTCGAACATGCAGCCGAAGAGAAGAATTACGGGGATATGAAAGCATCTGGTTTTAGGACAGCGAGCTACATCAAAGTCACGTGAACAATTCAACACGATGGAGATTTCTTCAACCTGTGAAAATTTGACATTTTCTAAACTTTGCTGCAGGACCTTATGCTGCGCCTCACCTTCTAGTCTATCTGCCAAATGGTGTTTGGTGTGGACATGGGATTGTTGCATCCGAGTCTGCCAGAAGTCCCCATTGCGATCAGTTTTGACGACGCTACATCACGGTCCTCCGAAAGATTCGTCGATCCCCTTTGGCAGCTGAAGAAAGCTCTGAACCTAGGTTCAGAAGCTGCCATGAAGAAAGATCTTGAAACTATCAATGATTTCACTCTCAAGCTTGTCAAGAATCGAAAGAAAGAACTGAAGACCAACAAACAGGTTAGTGAACCACCGTAGCGTCATAACCTGTGGGCAACACGACGTCCTGTTTCGAAGTCGGTTAACACGCACTCTTACTTGTGTTCCTACATGTCAACGCTAGAATTGCAGCGGTTTCTAGGAGAGACTACTAAAGTCTTAAATGAATCTCATAGCCCGTGCTCAGAGACACGGGTAGAAATGGTTGCCTCAAGGATTGGTTTTGTTTGATCTCCTCTTGCTTGTACTTCACGACCGGGGTTTTCCCCTCCATTCGATCTGTGTATTTTCGTCACGTTTGAATGTAACGCAACTTGCCGTTGTAGCCACTGACACTCGTCCTTCTCTGTTACGGAACAGGGAAGACCAGATCTTTTATCACGCTTCGTCGAGGCAATCGAAGAGGAATCCATCACTGCAAATCCGGAGAAAGACCTGCAAGACGTGGTGATCAACTTCATCCTTGCAGGACGTGACACCACAGGAGTGTCACTAGCATGGTTTCTTTATGAGGTCTCTTGCAACCCCCAAGTGGAAGAGAAGATCGTTTCAGAGCTGCTCCGACTGGAAAGAGACAGGCAAGGGATGACTGATTACACAACCTCCTCTGAAGGCGAAATGTCAGACTTCGTCAGGCTGCTTGACTATGAGAATGTCAGCAATATGCACTATCTTCACGCTGCGCTTTCTGAATCTATGAGGCTTCACGGACCAATCCCCGCTGTAAGTTATATTATTATGAGACTCTTCTACTCGCTAGACAACAGTGTGAATTCTTTTATTCTACTCCCAAGTTGTCGTCTCTTCTCTCCTCTACTTTCCATCCTTCTTACACACCGTCTTCTCCACTCAGTCATTCTCTTCGCTCTTACACGTTTCAGCCAGGATGGGAGGTCTAGGTCTTCAGGCTATGGCAGGAACATACTAAGGACCCTACTCAGCACATAGTATGCTTCAGTCATTCGAATACAGTCATAGATGCACAGTTTCCGATGATGGACGGTGCGGGTGAGTGAAAGGAGAGAGAGACTTTCAGTATATAAGCCCAAATACCGCATATGCACCGTAGGAGAAGGACTTCAAGGTAACACGAATTATGTGAGAGAATGTGAAGGGTTTAGCTTTTCTGATCTGTGTTTCATGGAGATGAGGGAGTGTATATTCCCTAACTTGTTGGTGTCTTCCTTGAGTCGTAAGTACTTCCACAGGAGTTTCGAAAGTAGAGGACCGATATCTTAGGGGTGGTCTTACGAGCTTTTTCTGACTAGGATTCTCGTTGCCTGTGCAGGATGTCCGAGTGGCTATGAATGACGATGTATTACCATGCGGTACGAGAGTCCACAAAGGAGATTTTTTAATGTACAGTGCCTATGCTCAAGGTCGAATGGAGCAGATTTGGGGAAGTGATGTAATGGAATTTAAGCCAGAGAGATGGCTCAAAGACGGTGTTTTCCAGCCAGAGTCTCCGTACAAATACCCTGTGTTTCACGTGAGTGCTAACAAGTTCTCACCTACCTACAATGTCGACGATTCGCATATGATGAAGATCATAATTTTGGCTTGACACACTGACTCCAATATGCTGATGCTCAAATTCCTCCATAAGCGGCTCGTAATAGCTGTTTCTGGAGGAGTTTCAGCATCAGCATATTGTTTCAGCATAAGCTCATGTTTTGAGCTTGTTGTTAGTATGGGTTGGATGGCTGACTGTCGGACTAACTTGCTGACACAACGAAAATTTTGGCAATTGTACAGGCTGGCCCACGCTTATGTTTGGGTAAAGACAGTGCCTACCTTCAAATGAAGATCACGATGGCTGCACTTCTTCGATTCTTCACATTCAAAGTAGTTCCTGGTCATGAAGTAAGATACAAAGTTACTATAACTCTACATATGCTCAACGGACTGAAGATGATTGTGCAAAGACGATCGTAAACCAAAGTATAATCTAATGCTTCGTCAGATCGCAGTGATTGTATTATATATGCTAATATAAATCATTTGACCTAGATGTTAGTTATACTTGGTGTCACATCGCAGCGATTGTATTGTACATGCTAGTATACAAAATTTGACCTAGATGTTTATTATACTTGGTGTCACATCGCAGCGATTGTACTGTATATGTTAACATAGAAAATTTGACCTAGATGGTAGTTATAATTGGTGTCACATTGCAACTATTGTACTATATATGCTAATATAGAAAATTTGACATGACAACTTAGTTGTCGCACTGTCGTCTGGTTTGGTGATCGTCAATTACACTCAAAGTAGCGATAGACAAAAGCACAGATGGAAGAAAGAGAAAGAAGTACGAAGTGTCGGCCTGATTCTTGTCATTTTGTCCTACAATTGAATTGATTTACTACCGAATCTACCAAGTGATCGATATGGAGAAATGAGTCAAAGACTACAAACTGATTCATTAAATTGATGCTTGGATGACAATTCGGGACCTTTAGTAACAAAGTGAAGGCAACAATACTCAGAGTATTGTCAAATTTTGGTCAGAACGATTCAATTAAAGAGCAAAAATTTGATTTGACGCTTGGATTGGTTTGGTTTAATTTGAGAAAGTAGACTGGACAATAACGGAATGTGTTCATAGTGACAGTTAAATTGCGCTTATTAATCACGTATTTCATTGCATTGCTTAATCGCGCCACATTTCGTTGTCGTGGCAAAACTTTCATTACGTTCCTACCTGCACTTGAGTACTTGATTTCCGCATGTGACTTCTTCTGAGTTACTCTTGTTCAAGGAGAGACACAACAAGATGATTATGGAAAGAAAAACATGAATAGACAACAAGCGCAAGTTTGATCATCAATGTCATCCGATCTAAGCGGTGATGGATTCAAATTTTGATCCCATGAGTTTTTATTTTTTGATCATATTTGTGACAAAATTTTCGAAAACTCTTTGAAAAATGAACAATTTTAACGATCTCAAAAGCAACATAAGTGCCAAGGAAGACATCACTAGCCGACCTCAACTTATGATTTGGAGAAGAAATGACCAATGGCGGTGAGTAAGCTTTGAATAAGTTGGAGTGATAAATCACTAGTGTTCTTGGGCAAGATGCTTAAGCCATCACTCAACAACGTAGAGGATGATGATGATGATGATTGGATTGACATTTAGTATCATACGATGAGTTTTGTGGTATTAAATCTCAAAGCCCAATATCTTCAAGCAAATGGAATAGATATCAACAGTGACAGATTTGTTTGCAACATTGAGTGAGACATAAGAAGTAGCTCGCAAATAAATTTTACATGTTTTTGAAGCTCACCCATTTCAAGATGACAGAAGATATCAAGAAGTATAAAAAAACATATATATAAATGAAAAACAAATAAGAAGTAGCTTTTAAATTAATTAGTCATGTCTTTGAAAATTATCATCTTCAATATGGCGGATTGTACTTAAACATAAAATCATGTAGTTGTATTCAATAATTTGCTTGTGGATCTTGAAAATTTGGAGAAGAGTTAATTTATGAGCAGATAGGAATTTAGTTGTTGAGTTTTTTTCCAATCTCACATTGGTGTTGCTTCATTGTGACAAGGAGACCATCACTTAGAATGAAGTTGTTACTATCTTATCCACCAACAACATGCAATAGAAGCTGGTGATTCCAGTGGATTGATCTTTCGGTCAATTCACTTCATCGTCTACTATCTTGATAGTCTCTTGTGATACCACGGCTACTAGCGAGGAAGCCAAAAGAAAGACAAATACCAAATCTAAGTCTAAGTATAAATCTAGAGATGATAAGAACATCAAGTGTTGAAAATTTGTTGAATCTTATTACATTTGCCAAGATTGTCGTAGTATGGCAACTGATTATACCTCTGCAAACGTGACTGTAAATAGGAATTCCAATTATGCTCTTTATAATTCTGATCATGTTGAAAATGAACAAATGAATTTTGGATTTAGCTTGCTTTTATCACATTTGTGATAAATGTTACATTTTGTTGACTAGTATAGTTTTTGTGGAAAATGATTAACCATGTAAAATTGTTGGTATTGGATTTGTGAAGATTTAATTGTTTGATGAGGTACACCGTACATTGAAAAACATGCGGCACATCCCTAGCATATGTAACAATTTGATCTCATTTGGAGAAATGGACATGAAAAGATTCATCTTGAGCACCAAAAATGAAATTGTGAGAGTGTTAGATGATTTTCATATTCTCATGAGGAGCTTAAGGTTGAATAAAATCTAAACATCTTGAGTAAAATTATTTTTTTGAAGAGATTTTGGTACAATTCATTGGACCAAATGAGTGAGAAAGATTTGACCATCGTACACAATTAGAGTTTATTGCCCGAAATGAAAAAATTCAAGCTAGAATTCCGTGAGCACTGTGTATTTAGCAAACAACAAAAACTTCATTTGACGTTGGAGTGCATAGCTCACAATATATTTTTAGTTACATTCATTCTTATGTATGGAACTTTCTAACTCCCTCATACTTTAAAAAGGTATACTACAATACACATACACAAAATTCACTACATACTACTACATACAAAAAATCTTTGTGAATGATTATTCAAGATTTTTATGAATTTATTTTATGCAAAAGTCCGAGTTCTTAGAGATTTGTAAGAATTAGAAGGCTCTAGTTAAACCTAAAACGAAAAAAATTGTGAGATTTTTGTGCTCAGATCACAACGCAAATTAGAACTCCATATAGTTTCAGTTGTATTGCAAAATAGAAAAAATTTCTCGCCATCCAAGCACATCATATACTCTAAAGCAGAATGATGTGTCTGAGAGACTCAACCACATTATTGATTCGCTCACAAAGTATGTAGAGTCTTGTTGGTTTATCACATATATTTTGGGCTAAAGCTATGAATATTGGAACTTTTTGATTTACTTGTCTAGTAATAGCTCTATCAAGTTCAAGACACCGTTTGAATTGTGATACAAGCGGTAAGCTGATTACATTATGTTGAGGATTTTTTGTTGTGATGCTATATCTTACTCCGAAGGATAATAAAACTAAGCTTGATAGTGTCTTATTTGTGTTTTCAAAGAGGAGTAAAGGTATATAGCTTTTGGAATGTCAATGCTCACAAACTCATTGTCATGGGAAATGTTTCATTCAATGAATTCAGATCATTGAATAAGGGAAAAAAATTGTAGAATATTGTTACAGTGGTACGATCAATTTACCCCTCAATGGTGTACAGAGCAAGGGTCTTGTTCCGTACACCATTGAGGGGAAAATTGATATTGACATCACACATGGTGGACCGAATGATAGTTACACTTGTTGTGAAAGAAGAGGAGCTAATTGGTGGTGAGCCATATTTTGAACTAGCATCAATTGATCAAGTATAATATTTGGAGTGGAGTGTAACTAAACGTCAAGTTGGTGCTAGATATGGCACTTGGTTTGATTATTTTGTCATTGATAATATTGAAGTTCACGTTGAGGATTTAGATGAAATATTGATTAATGGAGATGAAGATACATCCGTGATCAATACTTGGAGAAAGAAGATGAAGATACATCTTCTTTCTCCAAAGCTCCAGCATCTAGTGAGAAGCAAGAGTCAAGCTTCTGCTAGGTATGACACTTGGTTTGATTCTCTAGTCATTGATGATATTGAAACTGACTTTGAATATCCATGTGACACTTTGATCATGGAAGATGAAGATTCATGTTCTTTCTTTGAAATTCTAGCTTTCATTGAGAAGCAAGAGTCAACGTGATCAACCCTAATTTTTTGAATTGTGATCAATCCTACTATGCAAGTATTCAATTGTCTAACTGAAAATGTGTGAAAGATGAATAGTGGAAGAAGCTCGTGATAAGATTTATTTTAACCTTGAAAGCAATTGAAACTATGAAAATAGCAAGGCGAATGTGAAAGATTACATATGAAGATGATTGAAAGAGACTAAAGAATTGTTGATTAAAAGAACTTCAAGAGTCAACTCACAATTTGTAGACAAGTAGATTTGTAAGTTAATCTAGTCAAACAAACATTTTGAAGTCTGATTGGAAATATCTCTTCCAAACTGTTGTTTGAATGTGTTGGTATGCAAATTTATACTGATGTATGCATAGATTTGGTGCACAAACCTTTTCTTGATACCTTGAGAAAACTTCTATACAAAAATAAATTTCCAAATCTTCTTGTAATTATCTGGTAATGCGTGAGAGTTTACTCTACTTTTATACTTATTTCAGTAGTAGATCCTTTTTATGCTTCAACATATATTCGGTTCGTATATCAATGATAAAACAGTATGTAAGTGATACCAATTACAAGTCATGATCCCTTATTATAGAAGTGCAACAAAAAGTAACCAAGCAATGAATCAAAGAGACTGGGAAAATCCCATCCTCTTTGCAGACGGATGGAAATGGGATAGACCCAACAGCATCACAATGGGAAGTGGAAAATAAGACATTGAGATGTTAGGAAGACACCGAGTGTAACTAACATCTGGGTCAAATTTTGTATACTAGCACATATAATACAATCGCTGCGATGTGACATCAAGTATATCTAACATCTAGGTCCATTTTTCTAAATTAGCATATATAATACAATCGACGCAATGTGACGAATCTTTAGATTAGACTTTGGTTTAAGATCGTTTTCGCACAATCATCTTCAGTCCATTGTGCATATTTAGCGTTAGAGTAACTTTGTATCTTACTTCATGACCAGGAACTACTTTGAATGTGAAGAATCGAAGAAGTGCAGCGATGGTTATCTTCATTTGAAGGTAGGCACTGTCTTTACCCAAACATAAGCGTGGGCCAGCCTGTACAATATCCAAAATTTTCGGTGTGTCAGCAAGTTAGTCCGACAGTCAGCAGTCCAACCCACACTAGCAACAAGCTAAAAACATAAGCTTATGGTGAAACAATATGCTGATGCTGAAATTCCTCCATAAGCAGCTATCACGAGCCGCTTATGGAGGAATTAGAGCATCAGCATATTGGAGTCCGTGTGTTAAGCCAAAATTTATGATCTTCATCATATGCGAATCGTCGACATTGTAGGTAGGTGAGAACTTGTTAGCACTCACGTGAAAAACAGGGTATTTGTACGGAGACTCTGGCTGGAAAACACCGTCTTTGAGCCATCTCTCTGGCTTAAATTCCATTACATCACTTCCCCAAATCTGCTCCATTCGACCTTGAGCATAGGCACTGTACATTAACAAATTTCCTTTGTGGACTCTGGTACCGCATGGTAATACATCGTCATTCATAGCCACTCGGACATCCTGCACAGGCAACGAGAATCCTAGTCAGAAAAAGCTCGTAAGACCACCTGCTAAGATTTCGGTCCTCTGCTTTCGAAACTCCTGTGTAAGTACTTACGACTCGAGGAAGACACCAACAAGTTACAGAACATACACTCCCTCATCTCCATGGAACACAGCTCAAAAAAGCTAAACCCTTCACTTTCTCGCGCATAATTCGTGTTACATTGAAGTCCTTCTCCTACGGTGTATATGCGGTATTTGGGCTTATATACTGAAAGTCTCTCTCTCCTTGTCACTCATCCGCACCGTCCATCATCGGCAACGGTGCATCTTATGAATGTATTCGAATAATTGAAGCATACTATGTGCTGAGTAAGCTCCTTAGTATGTTCCTGCCATAGCCTGAGGACCTAAACCTCGCATACTGGCTGCGAGGCCTGTTAGAGCGAAGGGAATGAATGAGTGGAGAAGACGGTGTGTAAGAAGGATGGAAAGGAGAGGAGAGGAGAGACGACAACTTGGGAGTAGAATAAAAGAATTCACACTGTTGTCTAGCGAGTAGAAGAGTCTCAGAATAAAATAACTTACAACGGGGATTGGTCCGTGAAGCCTCATAGATTCAGAAAGCGCAGCGTGAAGATAGTGCATATTGCTGACATTCTCATAGTCAAGCAGCCTGACGAAGTCTGACATTTCGCCTTCAGAGGAGGTTGTGTAATCAGTCATCCCTTGCCTGTCTCTTTCCAGTCGGAGCAGCTCTGCAACGATCTTCTCTTCCACTTGGGGGTTGCAAGAGACCTCATAAAGAAACCATGCTAGTGACACTCCTGTGGTGTCACGTCCTGCAAGGATGAAGTTGGTCACCACGTCTTGTAGGTCTTTCTCCGGATTTGCAGTGATGGATTCCTCTTTGAATGCCTCGACGAAGCGTGATAAAAGATCTGGTCTTCCCTGCTCCGGAACAGAGAAGGACGAGTGTCAGGGGCTACAACCGCAATTGCCTTAAATTCAAACATATGGCAAGTATTCAAGCACATGATCAAGGAAAAGGAAGATAAGATAAAAAAAAAAAACCAATCCTTGAGGCAACAAAATCTACCAGTATCTCTGAGCACGGGCTACGAAATTCATTTCAGACGGTAGTAGTCTCTCCTAGAAACTGCTGCAATTTTAGCGTTGACATTAAGGAACATAAGTAGGAGTGCTTGTTAACCAACCTAGAAACTGCTGCAATTTTAGCGTTGACATTAAGGAACATAAGTAGGAGTGCTTGTTAACCAACCTAGAAACTGCTGCAATTTTAGCGTTGACATTAAGGAACATAAGTAGGAGTGCTTGTTAACCAACTTAAAAACAGGACGTCCTGTTGCGCACAGGTTATGAAGCTACGGTGGTCCACTAACCTGTTTTTTAGTCTCCAGTTCTTTCTTTCGATTCTTGACAAGCTTGAGAGTGAAATCATTGATAGTTTCAATATCTTTCTTCATGGCAGCTTCCGAACTTAGGTTCAGAGCTTTCTTCAGCTGCCACAGAGGATCGATGAATCTTTCTGAGGACCGTGATGTGGCGTCTTCAAAACTGATCGCAAAGGGGACCTCTGGCAGACTCGGATCCAACAATCCCATGTCCACACCAAATCCCATTTGGCAAATAGACTCGAAGGTGAGGCGCAGCATTAGGTCCTGCAGCAAAGTTTAGAACATGTCAAACTTTCACAGGTTGAAGAAATCTCCATCATGTTGAATTGTTCACGTGACTTTGATGTCGCTCTTTGTCCTAAAACCAGCTGCTTTCAGATCCCCGTAATCCTTCTCTTCGGCTGCATGTTCGACAGCCTACCACTTCAAATTCCCCGTGGAAATTATTTGCACTCCCTTATAAAAACTGCAACTTAGCGGCTGTACATAAATACGCATGCTTAACGCACGGATATTTAGGACTGCATCGAGTTTCTTTTCTCAAAGTGTAAATTGTACTTCTCTCCAACATTGCAACTTCTCACAACTTATGGTCACTGTGCCAGTAAGAAGAAACACTGTACCATCATGTCCACCGGTTTGTTCTCCTCTGCGGCTCGATCTAGAATCTGACAGAGTTTGACGGCGTTATTCTTAAAATTGTGGAAGCTGTGATCTCGTAGAACTTTCGACGCAAATTCGTAGCTTGCAACTTTGCGGTGCTTTTTCCAAATATCTCCATCAGCGTTGAAAATCCCATCCCCGAGCAAATCGACTAAACGATGATGTTGCTGTTCACCCTGTCAACTTGGCATCATTGAAACGATTAGACCCCAATTAAAGATAGCAATATTTCGGGAACACGAAGAACTATCTTTTCTATGGTCCTGGCAAAGCCTATACCGACACTGCATATATTCAATGGGAGAGTCGGTACGGGCTTTCCCTCGCATCGACAATCATTTATCGTCCAGATTAATCACTATCTGCGGCGGGACGATTCTCCATCTGCAACTGGCGTTGACTATGGAAGAGAAGGGGTGAAATGTTCTGTAGAAGAATTCGAGACCTACGAACTACATGTCACATGCTCGGGAATTGAAGAATCAAGAGAATGAGTGTTGAAGAATCGTCGTACTTCTAAGGGAAATGATAAGTAAGAAGTTCTAGGAATACTGCAGGAGCTCACAGGCTCGCATGGAGTCTCCACAGACGAGAGAAGACGGGCGAATTGGATTTGGAGCTGATGAGCTGACGTCGAGGTGCGTGCTTGCGTACCTTATCGTAGTTACTGAAATTGGTCTTCAACACGTATTCGATGTTCGCAGGATCTACTGTCACGACGTAATTGAGTCCAGGCATTTTCATGAGGTATGTCGGATAATAGATCTTTAAGTTATCCAAGACGTAGTCGTGCATGCGCCAGCGATTTCTGGTCATGTCGAGTATACTTCCCAGAATCGGCCAGATTCTGGGACCTCTGTGGTTCCGGTGCAGAACCCATCGATAGAAGCAAGCGTACAAACCTACCGTTGCGATCGCAGTGAAGACCAGCGGTAAAATCTCCATGTCTGGCAAAAATCTCGAGAGTTTGAAGTGGGTTCAAGTACTTCTAGTGGACTTGCCTAATCGGCATCAATCTGAAGATTTTCGATAACCGAGATTTTGGTGTGACTGGGTGACTAAACTAGAGTTCTGAATTGTTATCGGCGTGGAATGCAGTAGCAACAGCTGGAACTCAAGGCTTTTATGCTGCACGACGGAGTCTCCACGAATCCGACATGAACGATCTTCTCTGTTAATCTTCCTCCCCAATCAACTTTTTCGGCTTCTGGGTCAACAACCTGGGCTCCTCTGGGGTTCGAGATATTCTCAGCCCCCGCGCGGTCTAGATCAGAAACCCAACTCGATAGCTAGTGATGAAGATGCCGAGTCTAAATGACGGATATGTGACTCTAGTGCGTTGACAGTGAATTTATAATTGCAGGAAGACTTTCTCGCGTCGTATCGATCGTCCGTTCTGCAGACTCTCTCACATCACGACAGCCGGTCTGCTCGTTCTTCTGCTCCTTAGAAATTTCCACTTACACAATTCCGTCTTCCATTCACTTACTATTCCAGCTCAGAGTCAGTTCAGTCATTCATGAGTCATGTTACATGACTCATGAATGAATGAATCGCAGAGTCATGTTTCATGACACTTAGGTCTTCACGTTCCTTCCCTGCCCATAAATTTCATTGGCACCACGTCTTCCATTCACTTACTATTCCAGCTCAGAGTCAGTTCAGTCATTCATGAGTCATGTTACATGACTCATGAATGAATGAATCGCAGTGTCATGTTTCATGACACTTAGGTCTTCACGTTCCTTCCCTGCCCATAAATTTCATTGGCACCACCCCCGCTGCGCCAGCATCGTGTTGGGCTGCAAGAAATCAGTGAACTTTTTCACCGGCTCCGTCCGTAATGTCAGCGACGTCTGTTAGATGAAAAAGGTTCCGGTGCTTGGAGATCGAATTTGCTTCGGTTGTCTCGTGTCATCAGACAGAAGATGACAGAAGATGACACGAGACTCTCGTGTCATCTTCTGGACGTTTTTCGCCCAAGTGGTCGACTACTTCCAATTTTGTGAGACGGAAGATTTCACGAGGACTTCGTCGTGGTAATCTTCGACGGCGGAATCGTCTGACGGGCACATTCGTGAGCGTGACCGTCGAGTCACGGCCCCATGTCCGTGACTCGACGGTCGCAAGGAGACCGAAAGCGATCACGCGACGCATTTATGAACTGGAAGGGCTGCTCTCGCGAGCTCCATCGAAGCGCAAGAGGGGAGCCTCTCGTTCCCCTGTTGCCGCACTGGCCACGCTAGCAGTCCAAATGGGGACCGTTACGCACACGCAGACTGAACCGGGCCTAAAGCGCCGGTTCAGATTGGATCTACGGGATCTTCCGCCACCGTCTCTCCAGGTTTGTTGGTCTGGTGGTTTCTGCATGACCGTGAGTCCAAAACCCGACGGACGCACGGACAGACCGGATGTAACTACGCAGCAAGGCATCGGCCATACAAATTTTCCCAATCCTGTCTTCCCATTTTTCTGATTGGTGTAATAAATGCTTGTCTTCCTTATGGAGCAGGTGTTCAACTCTACGTGGCACTTTTCCCGACAAGTGATCCTCTTGTGGAAGACCGAATGTATACAGTATTCATTCGGTTAAGTCCGCACTTCACAATGCAAAATTCTCGGATCAATTTTCAAGAGTATATTTTCCAGAAAATCTTCTTGAGCAAAATAAAAGCTGCTATCGACCGTCGTCATCTACAAAACCACCTGCCTATCGCCGAAGCAAGTGTAGAGCTTTATGAAGGCAGTGAGTGAGTGTGCTGGCGCCCCTCTACCTCCTCACTGGGATACGATCTCAAACCCTGCTCGCAGCAGAGCGGAGGCCACGCCAGGAGGTGGAAGAGGGAGGATAAACGAGCAGACGCGAACCCTGAACAAGCGGGGTTGATTAGGGTTCTTCAACTTCGGCTTGAGGTTATTGCGTGGGAGATGGAAACCGAAGGCAGGGTGGGAGGAAGAGAGAAATGAACTGACGCACGTAGGTTGAGAGGAGTTAAGTCCGCACCAGACCTCCCGGATCAAGTTGCAGACTTAAGCGAATGTTTATCATATCATGTGTATGTTTATCATGTGTATTCATCGATAATAGAAATTTTTATTATTTTCACGAATATAGATTATAGAGATTCATAGACAATACAAATTGTTTTTTGTTCACGTTGAATTTTCACAACGCTTTACTTGCTCGAAGCGAACAGTTTATATACTAGTTGCTTCATGGGAATGGTGGCCACAAACTTGAGCTCCAGTTGAAACCTTGTGCACAAAGTCATCTCTTCGTGCAGGAGCAGATTCTGAATGTGGTGCGTCATGCTCTTCTCATATCAGGCTTTGCATAAGGATTGTCACGACTCAATACCTTCCGATTCCAAAAAGCTGAAAATCAGGCTTTGTTTTTAGATTGTCCCAAATCATATCTTATAGTCTCATTGACTAGAATGGTTTCTTTTTATTCAATATTCATTACAACCATTTACTACAATCGAAGCAATATAGTGAATGGTTCGGCAGAGTTTATTCATATGACAAGACTCATTACGAAAAGGGAGATTCTACTATTCAGTAATATATAGTTATTCGTAATTTCTCATTAGATTTATTATTGTGGCAGGTTTTTTTTTTTTATCTTTACTTATATATATCATCCAATATTACATGGAAGCAAAACCTTCTAATAGGCTGGAATTTGGCTTAGCTCATTTTGCAAAATTCTTGAAGGAAAAAATCACATTTCAAAGGTGACGATGGTTTTACCAATTTGGTAAAGGGATTGTTAAATTCACCCACCGTCGCGCGGAGAATTGTAATGGAAACAAGACATATCAGACTTTGATTTTTCTTCCAGTCGCGTTTGGTCTCTCTTTTTCATTTTCTTTTCCCAAAAACTTACAACGCAAGCTGATGTAAGTGTTGATGTTTAATATGCATATAGTGGAAACACCTGAATTTTTTGCTGTGGTGGAGCTTTTCAATCAAAAGTTCATATTCCAAGCCCATTCTCTTTTACCTTCCACTAGAAAGGCTAAATACATCAACATTTAAATTGGACAGCCTTGTTGCATTAAAAAATGCCACGAGGAGTGGGGTCCGGTCAATTTAACAATCTTCTTTGGTAATATATAAAAACAATAATTATTAATACATAGTTAAACCTCCCAATAGTGTCACTTTTATGAGTGACATCCTTTCATTAATGACGTAAAATTCCAGAACCATTAATTTGTAACTTGTTAATCTGCTCAATATCATGGCAACATTGACATGATACCATTCAATAGTGATAGTGTCAAGTGTAATTTTGGTGGTAAAATTCCTATCATGATCACAATACATAGCAGTGAAAAAGAAGAATGTGGTATACGTTTATTTAAATGTGTGCAAATGAAGACCATCTTGATATCAAACAACACATTTATAGAATGCATAGAGTTAAACCTCCCAATAATGACGTATATTGGTGATAGAATTTCCCGTCACTATTGGAAGCTGACACCCACAAGAGTAAAGTGCGAAACCTTGAGGATAACCTCCTAAAAGTAACATATATTGATGTTAGAGTTAGATGTCATTGTTAGGGTTAGATGTCACTATTGGGAGGTCTCACTTATAGAAAAAAAAGCTCATAAACTTCTTATCTTACATTGCACCAGTTCTAGGACATTCCATAAATGTGTTGTTTTCAAATCGCCTTCATTTGCACATCTGTGTTGTTCACGATGATTAACTTAGGCACTATAATTACCTTTGAATTTAGGTTAATACCTAAACATATGAGTGGAATAATTGATGATAATATAAATAGCGAAGTATTTTTTTGAAACCTAGACAGAGTAAATTGTTGAGACAGACTTTTCAATAAAGATATGACACGTTCTTTTCTCTCATTGTTATGAATTGCGATCATGATAGGAATTTTAATTCCGAAATTACATTTGTAATTGTCACTATTGGATAAAATCATATGACTATTGTCAATAATGACTTATGGTTCTTATTTAAGCAGATTTACAAGTTAAAACTAATCGATAATTAAAACTAAAATTCCAAAGTTTTAGAATTTTAAGTCACTAATGAGAAGATGTCACTCATAAAAGGTGACACTGTTGGGAGGTTTATTTCCGTATTACGACGTATGTTATATATTATAAGAAGTCTATACACTTTCTTTTTATAAATAACATATCCCAATAGTGATATCCAACCCTAACAACAATTTGTGTTATTATTGGGAGGTTATAATCAAAGTTACGCACTTTAATAGTGACGGAAAATCCTAGCACCAATGTCTGTCACTATTGAGAGATTCATAGTTGTATAATAATTGTAAATTTAAACTAATAGACGTGAAGGTCGCGTAGCGCAGTGGATTAGCGCGTCAAACTTCGGATCTGAAGGTCGGGGGTTCGAATCCCTTCGTGATCGTTTTGTCTGGCAGTGTGGTTACAGACAGTGCTCTTGCAAGTATGGAAATTTCCTGTTCTGGAACCTTCAGTTACCCATTGCGCTTACGCTCATTAATAATCCACGACCATGTACTGTGTGGTTACAGGCAGTGCTCTTGCAAGTATGGAAATTCCTGTTCTGGAACCTTCAGTTACCCATTGCGCTTACGCTCATTAATAATCCACGACCATGTACTGGTAGTCGAGTCGTAAATCAAAGATCTGCTACTATCTGGGACTAGAACTCCTCCCAAAACCAGCTTGAAATGTTTTGTAGATTGGTTCACGACTAAACCCACCCTGATGCACCTCAAGCGTAGACTCGGAAATGTACGTACTCCATCGATTTCATGAGGTACGTTCAAAGTCAGGAATTTGTCCTCAACTGGGTTATACATGACATTTTCGGTTGACAACAGGTCATTGAAACACAATAGGCCTCCATCAGCAGCGACCACTTGCTTGGGCCCAAATGTGATGTACCTTCTGATCTGTCGATCACCAAAGCAGAAGTAGGCCGTATTGTCAATACTTGCATCATACTAGATAACAGATTCATTCCAGATTTCGTTCCTTAACTCCGGACCATCTATGATTTCCTTCCATTTCTTACCAACTGAAGGACATTCCGCAAGAGTGAAAACTGGCAGATCCTGATCTCTGAAAACCTTAATCAGTGTTTCAACAGGTAAGGAGTTCCATAGATCTTGAGGTCGATCATGTTCTCTTTCGAATTCCTTTGCAACGAACGAGCTCTGAAGGATGAAATGTATGAATGTGCTCTGTAGATCATATCTGGAATATCTCAGAAGGGACAGTAATCAGTCAATTGCGTGTAAATCTTGGAAATAATCTTACGATCGTTGCCACAGATAGCTCAGATTAGAAAGATCTTATGCTACAAAAAGGTCATACGTGTTGTCATGATTAGTATGACTGGAATGTGCAGTTCTCACCACTCCTCGCATTATTATTAATTTTGGTTGTCTGGCAGTGTGGTATCAGACAGGACAGGTCGCTCTTGCAAGTATGGAAAATTTCTGTTCTGGATCCTTCAGTTCCCACTGTGCTTACTCTCATTCTGTGATGACTCATCACAGATGAGGATAAATGAATGAGTGATGAGGACTGGAATATGCAGTTCTCCACTCGCATTATTATTGGTTTTGGTTTTGTTTGGCAGTGTGGTATCAGACTGGACTATGCGCTCTTGCAAGTATGGAAAATTTCTGTTCTGGAAAGTTCAGATCCCCATTGCGTTTATACTCATTCTGTGACGAGGATTAGTGTGACTGGAATGTGCAGTTCTCCACTCCTCCTATTATTATTGGTTTTGGTTTTGGTTTTGTCTGGCAGTGTGGTATCACATAGTACAGTGTGTTCTTGCAAGTATGGAAAAGTTATGTTCTGGATCATTTAGCTCCCCACTGCGCTTACTCTCATTCTGTGATGAGGATAAGTGTGACTAGCATGTGCAGTTCAACACTCCTCGCGTTATTATTGATTTTGGTTTTGTCTGGCAGTGTGGTATCAGACAGGACAATGTGCTCTTGCAAGTATGGAAAATTTCTGTCATGGATCCTTCAGTCCCCCTCTGCGTTTACTCTCATTCTGTGATGAGGATTAGTGTGACTGGAGTGTGCAGTTCTTCACTCCTCGCATTAGTATCATCCTCCACGCAACACATCGATGACATGGATACGTTCCTTTCTCCATCGCCCATGTTGTATCAATTTTCTAAGCATCAGGGTTCTCTTTTGCTTATACGGTGATGAGATGGACTGAACTCTTCAATTCTTGTTGTATCATTCAATGCATGAATGCTGTATCAATGCTTTTGTTGTAACAGTCTCTACGTAACACAGCGAGAACGAGTTGCATCATTAGTTCACCAATTCTGAATACTGCCTCTGCAGGACAAGGACTGATCTATACAATTCTAGATGTCAGGCTCCAAGTCAACCTTAACGCTTGAAAAGCTTTGGGCAGTCCGATCTGAGTACTGTTGTATCTGCATGGTGCCATATGTTCAGCTTCAGTCAGTAACAAATGAATTCTTCGATAAAGATAGGACGTAGCAAAATTGAGGAAAGAAGATATCAGTCGTCCTGCAGAAGAGCTGAAAGAATGGACTCTTGCATCAAGTTGAAAGAACTATCTAACAAACTCGAAAATGAGAAATCAATCATCTCTTTTAAAATTTGGTTATATATTATTTTTTCAGATTGCCACACAACAAGCGTTTGTAGTCCAACGGTTAGGATAATTGCCTTCCAAGCAATAGACCCGGGTTCGACTCCCGGCAGACGCATGGCGATGACGAATTTAGACACGTGGCAGGTCACCTGGCCTGCCTGTTCCTCAAATAGGAGAAAAAATGTCTGACGAGCCATCCCTTTTGCTGAACCACTGTGATTTTGCATGTTTCCCCACAAGCACACAGACCATGCTCCTCCTGGAGCTTTCAGTATTCTCTATCAAGATGAGGCTCGAGAGCACATGTAAATGAATGGGACGTGCGTGGATTGGAATGCTACAGCGCACGACATAGAAAAGGTTGAAAAACCTCAGATCAAATAAATTTTGAACTACGTTCCGATTTGTACACATTACCTTGCGGAGTTCATCCCACGTCCCGTACTACCTGGTACCTTGAACTTTAAGAGCATTTTATTCATATCTCATCACATGTATTGGTACAGCCCGGGCATGCTTATATTAGTGGATAGGCGAAGTTAAGTTAATTAGTCTCATCAGTAAAGGATAGGCTGCTGTCAATTTCTCACTAAGAAACTCTTCCAAATGTCACGCATGGCAACCCAACTACGGGTGGAGACCTAGGATAGGAGTGCCAACATAATTTACTCTTTTGCAGCACAAAGAAACTTGTTTACAGAAAAAAAAAACTGGATCTATACTCACAAATAAATTGCATTCAGCGCTACCGTCAAAGCCATCCTAATTACTAGAGTTGCAGCTAGTATTTCTTATAAAAAATCTCAGTAAGAGGGAAATGGAACTTAACACTTCCAGTGATAAGTTTACAACAGGGCAAAAACATGCAGTTTTATACAACACAGCCCTTACATCTCACATATAAATGCTTTTAACTATTCCATGACATTCTGAGTCCATATTGCACCATCTTTGCTACGAACCAATGTTATTGTTTTAAGATTCATCTGCAGAGCTATCAATTTGTCCACTAAGTTAAATCATCGGTGCACATCAAACAACTCTCTTTGTTTGAGTTCACGACAGGTTTGCGTGAAGTAACCTTTGCATGCAAAGAAACTTTGAAACCAAAGTCCTAGTTCTCTAAGTTCAATTTGAATCACATCACTTGTCTTGTAGCTTCCAGTTTGCAAGTGAGGCTAGTATCTCCTCTGTAATAGGGCAATAACCATTGCCCCTTCGTGAACTTATCACTACAACGTTCAGCAGCGAGATAGTTGAAGTTTATTGCCAGCATTAATTTAGGCGCCAAAACGAGAATACATTTAGATAATGTAGGCGATGCGCTATACGATCTTTTAAATTACGCATCCCAGTGGCAGTCGCATTCAAAAGTCTTTCTTTACTTTAGGATTGCATCAATTAAGAGACGTGTTTTTTAAATCTGAAACATATTGGCATACAAACTATGCACTTCATCTGTGAAACCGAATTTCAGCATTTTATTCCAGCCATTTTATCTAACTACAAAAAACATACAATGTAGTATCATACAAAATTCTTGAATAGATACGTATAAAGAATGCAACATGATATGCACTTTGTGAAGTATAAGATAAGGATGTGAGGTGCTATACTGTTCTATCATTGTCAGCAATCCATACTATATAATGATGAACTTGCTTGCTTTATCACATCCAGTATATCTGTATTGCAAATTGAACACCATATACAGAGGATTGTTTACATTAGACAAATCTCAACTCTCATCACACTATTGCCAAGTTGCATTCATGATCACATGACGTACAATTAAGCTCATGCTACTTCCTCAGTCAATTGTAAAACTTTAATACAAGTAAACTAAAAGATAACATCATTTATACTTTTTTTTATTGATTTTCGTGAGATCTTTTAATGAAAACCTAAATCTATGTATTGAAACTATGAGTCATTTGATATTTTATGACGATTCATGATACTAAAGTAAGGTTGGTTCCAAAAGCAATGTCTGAAGTTGCTTCCATAACGTTTAATTCAGTGTTTGATGAAGACCTCGAAGACAGAGTTGGGTTGGGACAAACATCCAGTGGTGTTTGAATTTTATGATCAAATACAATTAGTCTCAAGTCACAAATCATATTTAAAAACTTCAACTTCCGAATATGGTAGACTTTTTTATATTCTCATCTATATTTGAACAATTTATAACTCTTTATAAATCAAATGGAAAAAATACAGATTTTTTAACTCTAAGTATATTGGAACGATTTAACAAATTGAGCATCAATCGCTATATGTGTTATCAAAAGTTTTCATATTATTTAACATGCACAATTTGCAGCACTAATCTAAACTATGCTAAACCAAAGTCAGTTTTACAATACACACAATAAAAATCAAGGAATAAGAATTTTCTCCTCTCTCAAGAGCAATTAATATAATCAAATGAAAAACATTCATCTCATTTGCCAAATCCACGAGTGAATGAAACCCCTCTTGAACTGCGATCCAATAAAATAGACCTCAAAAGAATTGAATCAATGAGGCGATTCGACGGCGTGGCTACGGATTCGTCGACGGGCAGCCATATCCGGTTGCAGAGTCAGCAATTGCCGGGTGGTGGTGACTTTGCCAGTCGCGCGTGCCTTCTCGCTCCGTCTGCTGCCTGCGATCGACTGTTTCCGGTCGGCAGAATTTGGGAAATACGAAATCGGACCGCACGAAATTCGGAAGAAATGCAGAACCTGGTCGCAGCGCCGACGGGGTTGAATTGCACCGCGTGCTTGTCTCAGAAGCAGCGGAATTGCTCCTCTTTTGGAAGCTCGTGCACGACGCAATGGCCGCAGGCTGATCGATCGGCTCTGAGGTGCCCGAGCACTGACAGCGCCAATTCTGCTGCTCCTCGCTCCACCGTCGTCGTTTCTGCCTTCTTCGGTCTCGGAGGCAGTAAGAGCAGCTCGGCCAAAGCGGTACGCTCCAGTGCCTGCCTCTCTGTCATTTCGGTTTCGGTTCATTCTCGCCTTTTTCAAATCGCCCTCTCCGTCGATTTTTTGCTTTTGCCAATGCTTTGACTAAATTAGTCACTGACTAGTTGAGGGAGGGAGGGAGGGAATTGGGTTTCTTGAATTCCAAAGCAAAGAAGGTTGTGCGCATTCACATAGATTTGGGTGTTAACGGCACGTCTTGAGGACACTGGCCGTAATTGCTGGAAATTGATTGATTGATTAATTAAACGTTTTTTTTTTGGGTGGTATCTTCTCTTCTGCTCAGACTGTTAGCAATAGCTTTTGAAGAATCTCACAACGTATTCCCTGTGTCTTGGATTTGGCTGCTCTCTCTTTTCAAGGCAGTATCTTTTCTATTTTGGTTCTAACAACAATTGTCTTGGAACACACATATGTGCATTTGAGGTGTAGATTTTAAATCTCAAAGGGGAAATTCCCTCGATGATGAAGTTATGTCAGAGTCTTAGATTACGTGAATGTATGGAAAGCTGTGAGTTCAGTAGGATCGGACCTCTCAGATAAAGCATGGCAGGATTATTGAGTATGCCCCGGAGAACGAACCCACCGAAGAGCGGGACTGCAAGAAATAGGGAACTAAATTCCACGGGGCGTGAAACGTGCAAGCGAGCAAAACCGAGTATTGACAGAGAGCTGAAGGACTCTAGTATCATGCATTTTAACATCAAAATGCAGCAAGATCTTTAGAAGTGACACAAACTCTGACCAATAGAGAGCGCTGCAGTGAAGTTAGTTTAGGCCAGATTTCTCTGGGTTGGGTGTTTCCACGGACCTAACTGAGATCTTCAAAGCTGCTGAATTTTTCAAAATCTGTCAGATTCAGCATTCATCTTTGAAAATAATGTCCACTCCTTATGACACGCTGTTGACGTCTTTAACCGTACTTTTTCCGTCAAAGGATGTAGCATAAGATATGTGAAGACAGACTTCACTGTCGTCACACACATCCACTAAGCTGGTGGCAGTGCGAGAGTTTCTTTTAGTAACTATCAATCGAATGCGCCTATCCAAGTCAAGAAGCTGTAAGTTGATCACTCTGCATTCATGCCGAGATCCCGATTAAGAGTTGAAACTCTATATGGAACCAATCTGGGCTGGAAATATTTACCTCCAAGAAGAGCTATCCTTCAAGAGAAGAGCTATACTTCAAACTTTCTGTAAAATAATCGTGGTTCATAGGACGCACTGGTGGAATCAACTGAAATGGCAGGTTTTGGAATTCTGTGGACGCGGAACTTGTTTGAAAGCCATCCAGTATACTGGTTTTTCTTTAGAATGAAATTGAGGATGTACACTGGAGTCGCAAGTTATGGAATGAGCTGATTTCGGCTCCTAAGCAGGCTCGTCTGAAATGATTCCTGCAGGGAAAGGGATGCTTCAGTTGTGCAGGAAAAGGCGCCATCGAGTGCCAAGGCTGCAAGGTATGCTTCTATTTTCACGTGCTCAGATGTACCCTTGTTGCCCGCTTCGCGTGAAGTAGACCTGCAGATCAGTCTTATACAAATTTCTAGCTCGGCCTTGCAACTGACATATTGCCGCATTTTTGTGTGTTTAGGGCAGCGGAAAGAACAAGAAGAATGGTAACATGTTTGAGCGCTGGAAGTAAGCTGTTCCAGATGCCTGATTTGTGCGACTCGTATTAAAAGCTGATCCCAGAGTATTCTCCTAAGTTTCTGCATCTGTGTCGTCGATATCATTCGCCCTGATTGGCATTTGATTAAACTCGGCGAACATGGTCCCTTGAGTCTCGTGGGAAGCCAACCTCGCATTGACCCGTCCTTTCTTTGTCTCTACAGATGCTATGACTGCCAGGGGTTTGGCTTGGTCGGATGCCCCAAGTGCGGAAGTGGGGGGCTAACTCCTGAACAACGAGGAGAACGCTAGTTTTGTAAATACTGTAAAAGCGCCTCGTTGCAACCGAGTCCTCTCTCAAGAGAGACGAGTGTGTTGAGAAATCTGAGAAATGTAATCCGCCGACTTCAAAGAAATGAGGGGAAGGAAAATCTCACTTCCGACCTGAACTGATGAAATACCACATTGTTCATCAACTTTTTAGCGAAGCTCTCGCAAGGAAAGCTACGCAACGCGGGTTGCAATTTAACTCCACTACGGGGAGTTAAATCTACAATGCAGCTGCAGAGGATAAATAAGTTGATGAGGTAGAGAAAATGTTTCAAGTTCACATGTGTAATGATCTATCTTTAGACCGCAATGTAAGCCAATTGTATTGGAATGAAGGATGGGCATTGCAGCGAAGAAAATCTTTTCTGACGGTTATCTTCATGCACTTTCTTGATGTTATGAGCACGATATATGGCACAAAGATTAGTGAGTACGCGTGATTCTTTCCTGCCTCTTTGAACGCACCCATGCCAGTGCCCCATGATAAGATATCTCGTTATTGATGGACGATTCAATCCGTATCTCCGGAGACAGGAAAGGGGGTCTGATTCGAAATGACCGATGCGCAACCTTTGGGGATGTCGCTGAGACTTCGCCCTCTCTTGGCTTTAGCAGACCTTAGAGACATCCCAGTACATTTTCCAGCTCCCTCCGTACCTGTCCCCTGTCACCACACGACATGTTGCATCGTCTTTGCGAGCTTTGTAACAGGTTTGAACTTACCCAGACAATGCCCTCCACAAACGTCAGGTGTACTCCAAATTATTTGGGCAGTCATTTAGAGTCATTTCAGACCACGTGTACAACTGAGGCTCATGAGAAGTCAATGTTTGCATCGCACCTCAATCGACAGATCAGAAGACTTCCAAATGTTGTGAAATTCAAAAGGTACTTTTTCGTTTCTCTAGAGAATACGAATGATGAAATACCCACATTCTACTTTAGGCTCGTGCTCAAGTTCTATCGAAACACTTCTCAGGACACTCCATCTACCTTTGGATTGAGCAAATGTGTTTCCAATCTTTACCCTTTCTTTACCCAGATAATTGCAATGGGCCAAGTGGATCGGGATTTCATATCAAGTGGAAAGAAAATATGTCAATAAAAGACACAGCTTAAGAAGAATTATCATATGGTGTCCTTGCATATACAGTCTCGCTGTTTAATTATAGCTTGTGTTAAGATACCTTTTCTGTACAGTATTAGCTAGTGGCGTATGGATATGCATGCTGACTAAAATATCAATGAACAGCATGCTGTCTAAAATAATCATCCAAAGAAAATGATAAAACCTGCCCCTACCATGATAGGCTAGGGGTTCAGAACTGCACAGTCTCATCTTCAGTTTCCCTTTCGTGAAACTCAACTTCAAGTGTCTGGGCCTCCTGTTTTAGAAGTACCTTCACCGTCAATAAAATGGCTTGATCAAACATTTTATAGGGCGTTCTGTAGATGACAAATGTTCTCAATCATCGCATCCAGTTGCTCGCCGACGGGGCTTTGTCAGAATGACTTCTACCGAAGATCTCTCCGAGAAGACCGTTCAGTTCAGACCAATTCAAGAGGTAGCGTCCCCCTGACCAATTCAACATAATCTCATGCTTTTCTCCGCATCGAATTCTTCCCCGCATAGGATCTAGTGCAGCGTGGTAATCAATCGTTCCTGTATCCAGTATTCAATCCAAGAATGAAATCAAACCTCTGTATCAGTCGGCTCAGAAGACGCCCGATTCCACCACTGCTCTGATAGCAGGCGGTCAAGTCCGTAGGGAATCAATCAATCATCAGCGCAGAGAGATAGTGCGTGCAAAGGAGAAAAGGATGGTCCATGGATTACGAAACAAGGAAAGACGCAAGCCGATCTAGGACACCGGGTTCGTTCCGACAGTCCATTCGTATTCTTCTCGTCGCACGCGCTGTGCGCCAGACTTTCATCGCCGGCAGTCGCTGTTCGCTCGGAATCATCGATGTTTTCGCCGAAGACGAGCTCGGTCCTGCTGGAGTTCGCCGCTCCATGGACGGAGACGGTCGCTCCGTCACATGCCGCAAAAAGTCCGTTCGGTTTGGAAACGTTACCTCCGCTCCGCTCGCTCGTCACATCGGTCGTAGTTAAGTTCGAGTTTTGTAATTCTCTCGGTCGACGCTCCACAACGGTCGCACACTCGAATCCGCTAGCCGCCCGCTCGGCGTTCAAACGCACAACGGGTGTGGTGAGCCTATGCGCGCCGTGAGATGCTCGAGGAACTTGAAGGCTTTAAAGAACGATCTTGGGGGCAACTTTTCATCATTCATTTTTCGACATTTGGAGGCTTTGTCCGATACACACAGAGAAACATGGTTCTTGAGTGCGACTTTGGGAACATTTTTTCATCATTAGTTGATCGAGATGTGGAGGCTTAGCGCGATACACACAGAGAAACACGGCTTTAGAGCAAGATCTTGGGCCAACATTGAATCTTTAGTTGTTTGAGATTTGGAAGCTTTGCGCGATATACATAGAGAAATAAGGCTTCAGAGTGAGACTTTGGGAACAACATTTCATCGTTAGACGATTGAGATTTGGAGGCTTTGCGGCGATACACATAGAGAAATAAGGCTTCAGAGTGAAAGTTTGGGAACAACATTTCATCGTTAGATGATCGAGATATGGAGGCTCTGCGGCGATATACACAGAAACATGGCTGTAGAATGAGATTTTCGGGACAACATTTCATCATTCATTGATTGAGATTTGGCGGCTTTGCGTGAGAGACACAGAGACGCAGGAGGCAGAGAAGATGTGGTAAAACTATAGTTCGTTTTCGAATGCATTTGGGGGTTTCAACGGAAACCGATTTTCACAAGGTAAAAGATCTGGTCTCCTTGGCATATGCAAGGAGTACAGAGGAGTAGCTTCGAGAGGCGGTCATTCGATTCCCAGAAACTCGGAAATATGACCATCTCCTCAATACAACAAGACTATATACCATGCACTCGTAGACTTGGAAGCTGGAGACCTAACAGGTATACACAAAACAACATGTTTCCTCGTTTTCCGTGTGGAGGACGGACAACTTCCAAACACAATGATGTAATCTTGTAGTGTACAATTTAGCGCTGCGTGCCTCTAATCCGGCCTGACCATATCCTCGAAGCGCCGCCGGCAGCATCTTTCCGTTAGTGGTGCGCGTGTGGCCGTGGCCCTATGACGAAGAAGATTCTGGCAGCTTTACAACTGTGATCGGGCACGGAGCATTGTTTACCACGTAATTGCTCACACTTCCCAAAAATACCCTGCATTCGGCCAAATTCACCGAGCCCATCCGTGTCAGTAGTGGCATGGCAGTGAAGGAGACGGGACAATTTGAGACTTCTCGGGTTCAGATGACTGTACTGCTACCTAGAACTGAATTGATGCTGTAATTCGGAATTTGGAGTTTGAGTTGGACTGTACCTCTTCAGACCACCGAGTCCTCTGCTACCCATCACCAGTGCGTCCATGGAGAGGTCAAGAATAGCGTCGCAGAGTTTCTCTCGTGCGTCTCCGTAGTAGACCTTTCCTAACACCTTGATCTGCGAACGGAGCACGCCACATAGTTAGTGCGGAGATTTTGTCAAGCGGGTCCTGGTCTGGAAGGGATAGTGAGCACTCTCCTCTGCTATCTACGACAGGTTGAGGAGCAATTGAAAGATGGAATTGAGATTTCTGAGTAGAATTGGAATGGAGTGCCCACCTTTTTCTCCTTGAGAGCCTCTGCGACGAGGGTGTTCACCTCTTCGTTGGAATCCAAACCGTAGTTCTTCAAAACATGTGAATCAGTGAACTCTACGAAAGGGATCAAAGCTGCAAGGATACATATAACGGGAAGCGTTAGATTCCAAGGGTAAGTCTTCAACAACATACGCCAGGAGAAGGGGCTGCAATCAGAAGGGAGGACACGACATACTGTAAAAGAATGCACCGGGACTGCTGGCCAGACGAGACAAGACTCTGCCGTCTGCTGGCAAGTAAAGAGCACTCACGAGATCCAGAAACGCCCCACAGATGAATCTTGCTTTCCTCGAGATCGGTGTTCTTGTTGACCAGAATGAGAAACAAAGTGTCGCCATCTCTCACGAGATTGTCCAAAGCCCACTTGAGCGCATAATTACTGCTAGGGGAGAAGTCCAAGGCAACTCCAATATGTCGTTCGGCCATCTTATTCCCTCTCTCGATAGATACGTGGACTAGCCTGCGACTCCGGCCCAGTCGATCAGTCACCTGTATACACAATCGTCGCACGCTCAGCCAAATTCCAATCCTCTCTCTCTCTCTCTCTCTCTCTCTCTCTCTCTCTCTCTCTCTCTCTCTCTCTCTCTCTCTCTCTCTCTCTCTCTGTGTATTTGTGCCGATGAGCCTCAAATGTGCGAGGACGCTAGTTTGAACGAACGTGACCTCAACGATGAAAAAGGACCCAGGAGGAATTGAAACCCCGCAGCGACAAGAGGAATTTTCGAATGATGGAGCTTGAAGTGCATGAAGATGAACTTGCCAGACCTCTACCGTGTGCCTCTACATAAATGGCTCTCAGAAGGGGGGGTTCACAGAGCGGCGTCGTCGGATGGAACAGGAAGAACTTGACTTACCCTGAAAGACTGGATCGAGTCAACGATGACGAGATGGACTCCAGGACGAAGCCTTCGTTCTCGTGCGAAACAGATCAAAGGAATCACTGCAGATTTCCAGCGACTCCTGCTGCGGATGCTCTTCTATTCCTCCCTCCCTCCGCTATTCACTATCTCCCAACAGACAAAAACCACCAACTGCGAGAAGAAGGCTCGGGCAGATGGCTTCTCGGATTCTCGAGGCACAAGTGTCTCCGATGGGATGGGGTGCCTCACAAGCTCTCTCGCTCGCTCGCAAGGTGGAATGATGGTGGTGGGTATGATGCTGATGAGGATGGACAACAGCACACGAAGAATCGGAGAAACCTTAGTCTGTAAGATTCCCCGAAGTCTTCGACCGTTCCGGCACCAAATCTTCTAGAACTGGAGCCAGAAGAGCCAGTGAGGTGGGGCTGCCGAGGACGAGGACGACAACGACAACGACCGAAGCTGGCACCCACAAGACGTCGCCTTGCTCGCGGTCTCGCCCCTCGACCGAAACCGTCTTATATACACCCCCTGCGGTCTTCGTCGCCCCCTCCCTCAAAACCACTAAAGTAATCGTCTCCAACGTTGCGTTCGCTTGCGTTCTCCCTTTCTGTATTCCCGCGACTAAACTTTCTCTGGCAGCCAGCGACGCATCCGGCTTCACTCCAGCTGACAGGCGGAAGAAGTCCGAACTCCCCCCCACCTTTATGCCTCGCCCGGTCCCCGAAGCTTCTGCTGGGAGCCCTCCCCGGCCTTCCGTCCCTCAATCGCTGCTCGGCCCGTTTACGCAAGTTCTGGTCCTTCGGCCTCCCCGACGACTGCGCTGGATTGCACGCAGCGGCCCGTAAAATTTCCACGCCCGAGGGCCGAAAGCTGCTCGATCCGATCTCTATGGAAGAGGCTGCTGATCTCCTCGGTGCACTCTTCTCGCTCGAGCCAGAGCCGGAGCTTAAACTTCTCCTCCTCCTCCTCGCGGGGCCTTCTCGGGTCGAAGCTGCAGTCAAAGGCGGATCCGCCGATTCATTAGATCATAGTGTGCAGGGTAGCGCGGAGATCCGGTCATTTAAGTCGATCACCAGTAAAATTCTCCCGGGAGGAAGATCAGGCCTTTGACTGCACCCCCCGGGGAACGGGGTCGGACCCGCCAAGTGCCATGGTGGGTCCTCACACGTCACTCCAGCTGTTCAACTTGCTCGTCGCCAAATTTAATACGATCTTCGCTCTGATGACGAGACAAGTCACCTCCATGCGCGCTTTGCGTTGGGGCTGGGCAGGGCTACCGCGCGGCATCGGTCCCCACTTCTGGTGTCCCCGTCCCTCTTCATCCGGTCCAGCGTGGCAGTGGCAGTCTGTCAGTCGGCCTCCTTCCTTTCATCCTTCCATTCTCTCTCCCTCTCGTTAGTTCTTTCTTACTTCCTTGTATCGATGCATCTGCTACAGCAGAGTGCGAGTGCGTTTTTATGTTACTCCACACATATCACCGCTTTTCCTCGCCTCAGACGAGCTGAACGGACGGGGGAAACTACTGCAGGGGATCACTGCTGATTGTATTATTCTGGTCTGGCTCTGAACGGATTATGTTAGTTGGCGACTGTTAGTCTGGCCAGGTCGGTCAGGTCTCGAACTGACCTTTGAGGAAGGACAAGACGGTCGATCTGCTGCTTTTTATTTTGAAATTCTATGCTTCACGATCCCCTATCTCTGCAGCTGTTATCCCCTGCTGCTGCTGCGGCTGCTGCTACTCCTTTGTCACTACTGTTAGAGGTGGGAACTAGTGCCCATCCCGCCACCATCGTCGTCGTTCAGGAGCAACAACAGCAGCAGCTCTTGTCAGATAGATCTGTCTGGCCTGGGCAAGCAGGTGTGCGAAGACCAACACTGAACCCTAAAGCTCTGCGAGGATGGACTGCTTTTCTCTTCAGGAATCGTTGCCCTGTCTTCTACTCCCATTTTCGAAACGAGGGGAAAAGGTAGGGGGTCGTTTAAAATAGGCATGTAAGATCAGAATTTCTTGTGGAGGGATAGATTGCAAAAGCATAACCTCCCGTCGAAATACGACAAGATCCCATTCACTAAACAGTGCCAACGTCGTTGAGGGAAGTAAAGCCATGATTGAAGGGATACTCGAGTGCTTAAGAACAAATTTGTTTAGGTCTATAATGAAGGGGAAAGGTAACGCCCGCAACGACAATCATCTTTTGACCAGGTGGCTGTAGCAGGGAGGGGGGTTACGGAACACTGTAGTGACGCAGAGCTGAAGCCCACTTGATCCCATTGACAGTCTTCTTCTTCTTCACAGTCCGAGAGAAAGCTTTTTCCTCTTTTGTCTTTGCAGGGTCTGCAAAGCGAACTCCGATTACGGAACTGCTGGCTGACTCATAGGGACGGCCAGCTAGTTTCTGGTTCTCAGATGGGACTCATCGGCGACGCACGACTCATGGATGAATGAACTGGAACTCTCCGCCGCACGAGGCTGGACTGAACTTCTTAGGGTTCGGCACAAAGTAGATGGATGGATGGATATGTAACTCACGTGGTAAGCACCCGTCAACTGTCCCCAGTCGCCTTGCCAAACGACTTCTGTCACTGGGTAGGTGCCGGTTCTGCCAGACGAGGACTCGGCCCTCGATCTTCTGGACATCGATTAGAGTCAGCGCTCGAGGTGTATTTCATCCGGGTCCATGGATCGTCCAAATACTATTCGGGCCAGGAACCCACCTGAACTTTTTTTTCTATGACCAGTTCATTTGACATTAGCTTTGCGAGCAGGCCATGCAACGAGGATGACATTCGAAGGAGTACGTGAGTGTGGTGATGGACCTCATTCGGATGCCGTTTTTCTCACATATGGCATGTTGATTGATGGACCTCCTAGCGATGCTCTCTCACATGCGGTCTTGAGATCTTTGGTCTCTCCATGGCAAACTAGATGAACTGATTCGACCAGCGAATCGGATCATGCCAACTTCATGTGACGAAACATCTCCATCCATATCTACGTTGACGAGCTAGCATTGTCAACGGATATAGTTGAAGAGGGACATGGACGACCGTTTAGAGCTCTCGGGCCTCGGCTATCCTTGGGAAAATCTCCTGAAACGCTTGTCTCCATGTCTGGAAAGAGTCACGCATTAGAATTATCTGATGTTTGATCCGTCTACATGTTGGAGAGTATTAAAACATTTCCACGTTCTGACCAAGTTCACACTCATCTTTTACTCTTTAGATTCCTGAACTCTTTTCTATACTTCACTCAGGCACCCACATGCATTTGTTCCCGTCCCACTTTGATATACATGTAGACTGTCTACTTTTCCATTTAGAAGACTCGGACCTACCACACCCAGTCTACAAACTCTCGTGGAGGGACTTCGGTGGCAGTTCATGGAGTTCTTAAGTTATAGGGTAGCTTTTGGGTAGGAGTTGAGATGCGGCGGAGGATTCATTTAGAGGAAGTGAAAACCATAATGCATTACTAGTAGTGTATGCAACTACTTCTTTACTTTTTCTCCACAGCTGGAAAAGCCCGAAATTTCAACGTAGTGGGTACGTTGGGAGCGTCGCTATGTTCTTGTCGTCGACTAGTCCAGAGCTACCAAGTGTCGAGCGGGAGAGCATCATGCTCCGGTCGAGCCCTATGCAACTCTATGCCGGCCGAGGAGCTCTTTTTATTTTCTGGGCAAATGATATGACACTTTGCCCTTCGCTCTTATCGACGGGAATAAAGTGCACGGAATTTGTACGTGCTGTTGTCGTAGCCGCAAGCATGCCACGGATTACAACCGCAAGGGGCTTTTGGCCTGAGGCATTTGGACAATCATACTGAAGTCATCATAAACGGTGAGTGAGTGCATCTCTTCAACAATATTCGAGCCATAGAATAGTTCGCCGCACCCATCATCATCACCCCAAAACTCACTCTCATCACCGGTTTGGAATTTTAATGTTCATAATAAACAGAATCATCGTCAAACGAATAGAGCCACTCTCCTGCGGCTTTAGAGTGATGTGCTATCTTCCACGTGTTGACTTGGGATCGACAATGAAGCTCCTGTTACCTTCTCGCCGGAGTTTCAACCCTCGTCGGCTCGAATTCATTCATCGGTGTCACGGTTGCTATGGCTAGACAAGGATCAGAAAAGACAATTCATGATGGGCGCACTCGATGATGCAATGGGTGAGGAGTATGGGCGTATTAATGCACAGGAATGATGTGTCATCCTAGAAGTGTATGAGTCATCGACCTTGGGCTCCAAACATACTCGAGACAGAACATCATCGTGACCAGGAGGAACTCAGTTCAGTGGCTGCATAGAGAGAGCCTGGTTCTTAATCATCTGCGGTGATGTGTCAAGCCTAGGCTATGGCACCTGCTGCTGCTGCTGCTGCAACAGCAGCAGAAGCGCTACGGTTCCAGCACAGGCAACAGGAGGAGGAGAGGAGGAGATCTGACCATCTTTGAAAACCAGGACTTCAGACACCATCATCACCGCCTCCATAATGGCTGAAAGAAGCATCTGCAGCAATCTCTCCGTGGTGGTGGTGGTGATGTGTCAACCTTCGTGTGGAGCAAGAGAGAAAGATCTCCATCTTTGCCACAATTGTGGGAGACACCTACTCGGGCTTATCATTAGATGACGGACGGGTACGAAAGGGGTGGCAAGTTAACATCCCATTGGTTCCATAAGCACCAAACGTCGAACGGGGGTTGGCGACAGGTCCCACGCAGTTTCCACAGTGCAGTGGATGCATCCAACCAGTCTCCCCACCATCTTGGAGAAAGTGACTGCTGCCTGCGTCTCGAGTCCTTGGGGCGCACTCTCGATCGTTTGAGAAGGCACGAGAAGGTCGTTCCATACCAGGTGTCGAGACCAGGGTGGAGGAGGACCTTCAAAGTGGAGATGACGGCACCAAACATGTGTGACCCCCTTACCAAACATGGCCAAAATCGAGGGGAGAGGAGGACCTTCAAAGTGGAGATGACGGCACCAAACATGTGTGACCCCCTTACCAAACATGGCCAAAATCGAGGGGAGAGGAGGACCTTCAAAGTGGAGATGACGGCACCAAACATGTGTGACCCCCTTACCAAACAAGGCCAAAATCGAGGGGAGAACAATTCCGAGCATGTTATACCGAGGGAAGATGTGATGAATGATGTGAGTCATGTACCTTGGGTATGATGACTCTCGAGTACAACAACGATTCACCCAAACAAAACAGAGAGTAAGAAACTCTGGAGGATCTTAATAAACATGATGCTGGTTATATGATGAGCCCACCAAGTGTCAAGCTTGGGTTCCTTCCACAGAGTTTTCTGAACGGTTTCAACCATCCCGTTGTGGAAGGTGAGGTGGGGGCAAAGAAAGTGGCCGCCAGTTCATTCATGCAATAAGAGATTTGGACATTATTGTTCTAAATCTCTCTCAACAATCTGAAAATCTCAAAGTTTGTCGGGCGGCCGGAGAACACACACTCACAGTACACAAGCTCGAGGACACCACTGTACTGCAGCAGGGCACCTCAGGTTCAGACAACCAGCAATATCTACTGTACTGGAACTATCTATCAGAGTGCAAGATCGCGATCTCGAGACGCCCCTACGACGTTCGGTAGCAGTTGTAGGAGTGAGCACTGCGCACTGCGAACCAACCAAGTGTCAAGCCGGAGTCGCCTCATGAAGTCTCCTCCACCACCTCCTCCATCATCATCATCTTCTCGGGCACAGAGCGAGTGACGGGAGATCCTATTATCAAATTTCCGGCTTAGGCTGCTGAGCAGCCTAAGCTTGAGCACACTGTTCTGCACTTACTTCGAGCACTGTAGTTTGAGGCACTTGACAGTAATTAAGATCATGAAAACTTGGGGATGTTCCGTCGAGTCGTGGAGCTACACCGCTTCTGCTGTTCTTGTCGTCATTCCAGGGATGTCCAAGTGGCAAGCCGGGGCTGGGGGAGAAGTGGTTTCAGCAGAGAACTGCTCTCACTTCCGAGCAGAACAATTCGGTTAAAAGCACCGAGCCGTGATTTCAGGAGTTTTAGTCCCTCGCTGGCGCAGTTTTAGTGTTCCTGCTCTCAACATGAGAGCGAGCGGGAACATATCACGGCCCTGCTGCGCGTTATCAAACAGCGACCATCGTGCAAGTCGGAGCAGGCCACTGGTCACATCGGCCGATTGAACTGTTGAAGATGGCCGGAAAGGGAATGGGCGGCGTGGAAGGGAGGGGGTTTGGGAGACTTCGGACTCGGTCTCACTGAAAGCTTGAGTTCTGCCGATTTCGTTGTGGACTGTGTTACTTTCGTTCTTCCAGCTCATTTTCATCGTAGCCCACTCTCAGGACCCACGTTGTCGTCCAGGCAGCTGCCAGCTTCTCCATCCATGACCTCGACGTTACTAAACAAAGCCGATTGCTAGGGCGAAGCTTCTGAACAACATCCTGCAACGCGTTCCATACACGGAGGATCTTCAGAAAGACATTCCAGATAACAGACGTTTCAGGAAAAATGCATTCTTTGCTTCGTTGCAAAATCACGAACTATTAATAATCAGGAGTCTCCCTTGTTCATAAACTTCGGAGTCCGATGACTTTCCTTTCCTTCGTGCTTGGAATGTCAGTGGCTGACACTTATTTCTAACAATATCGAAGCGAGTCCCGCATCTCCAGGTGCCCGAAGAAATACTAGAAACGGAAGGAAATGAAAGAAGGTGCCATGGACATTTTCAGCAAAGAGCTCTATTAAACCGACGACCACTTGTGTTTGCTTCACAACTGCTGCGGGAAATTGTTGATCCTCCCAATCCCATGGGTCGTTGAAATCATGACCTCGAAGAGTGTTTATTGTTCAGTCGGCTCTCCTCGCCTGGGACACAATCTGCAACATGCACATGCGGATGATGTGATGAATTCCCAGTTTGGCAACTGTAGTCGTCCGGGGATGGCTGGCCGGAAATAGAGCTCATGCGCTTTGGAGGCTGTGGGCGTGTTATAGAATCATGGGCGTGCATCGGTGCAAGGTACTACTACCAGTCTCACAGGGACCACCACACCAAATGCGCTCGTAGGGCAAGGGACTTAATTTGGTGGGCGCAAAACCCTCTCCCGTTGCTACGGAGACGGAGAATCTTTCACAGATCCAAATATTGCGAGGGCGAATGTGCATCGTACCGAAATCCCGAGAGGATGTAGGAGACGAATCTCTTCATCGGAACAAAGCCCGTGAGGGGGAACACGCCCGTGCTTAGCGTAAACGCAAGTCCCGGCAGGCGGGCAGGCAGTCAGGCAGGCAGAGACCGAGGTTTCACCTTTTGCTTCGTGGTAGGCCAGGGCCAGGCAGGCAGGCAGGCGAGGATCAGCGGCGTTGGATCCCACGACTTCAGCCCTTCGCCCGAACCCGAATGTCGTCCGTCCGTCCGTCGAGAACCCGAAGAGAGAATCGGATCGAGCTCAGGCAACGCCTTTTGCACATCATGCTCGTCAGGGTCGAGCATCTTTGCAAACCAAGGCTCGAACGAACGAACGATGAACTGCAAGCGATGGACTGCACGTTTGGCCCACCGTCGTCTTTTACATGGGCGACCTCCGGCACTGCACTGTCTCCGTCGCATTTGTGCACGCGGTTGAGCCTTCGAGGATGAAGTTGGATCCGGATTGCATTTTGTTTGGAATCCTGAGCACCGAAAATGCTTCTTGCGAGCAGCAGGACAGGATGTAGATTACGCAAGAGCTTGGTGACTCACCACGTTGCTGGAGTTCTATGCTCGCAAGAGAAGAGTACATTGTGTGCAGTCCAGTTCTGTGTCATTGGAATCACATTCTTTGGTGATTCTTTGACAAGAGATTGATGTATACCATCATCATCAACTTCAATATTCTACATTACATTTTTCAAAGTGATCATATTATTATAATAAAAATTGTTATAAATAAAAAATTCTTCAAACTATGGTGATTAAATACATATCAGAAAAGCATCCAACAGTGTAAAACATATGGATTTTATTATTGATATTTAAATATAATTATCTATAAAAGACTGCAATTATTTCATATTAAATTCTAAAATGATTATCAATCTTCTAAAATGATAAATGTTTCTATAAAACATTTATCATTTAAGACTTGATATATAAGGTGTAAAGTACTAATGCAGTGACTAAAAAACACATCTATATATTTTCAAAAACATAAATATGGATAAAAATACATTTCTTCTCTATATGAATTTACATTTTATTGTTGTCATCTAATTTGCCAACAAGATTATACGAAACATTGATTATACGAAGATGTATAATCATTCATTCACAAATTGTATATGATCATATACACAAACACACTTGTTATACGCTCAAAAAGATCTTTCATTATTTTTTCATAAGTCATGTCAAATGTAGTGATGATAGATTTTGCATGCGATAATAATACATAATTTTGTTCTTGTAATTGTAATGGCTTTCATAATAATTCTTTCATAATTCAATATATTCTACATTAAGATTATAATCCTCCAATGATGTATTGAATAATTGTTTTATAATATTAAATTGTACATCAAGTCATATTGATTAATTTTCACTCCAAACTTTTATCAAATTCATGTGTGATCAATAATATATTGTATGCTTTATTAATAAAAATATTGTCTCTCCTTGTAAATTAACATTTACATATGAGTAATAATAAATGAACTAATGCAAAAATTTATGAATAAAATTTAGGTTTGATTTTATTCACTTAAAATAATTAGACTATCAATATATATAAAAGTATACATCAAATGTCTTATAGACAATTTTAGTATTAAACTTGATATACATTGTATTAAATTTGATTAAAGACAAACCAGGTGTTTCATCAAATTTGATTTAATAGATCATGAAATGTCAAAATTATTTTTGAAGATACATGAATCTATCCTACAAATGCATTTGGATAGGAAGTTCAATTTTTGAATTTTTTAGCTATTTTTATCAAAAATTCAGTTCTTGAGTGTGAAAAAGTAGCCTTAAAGTGAAGTTTAAAAAGATGTAAATAAAAAAAATTGGTTTAAAACATATCATATCCGCATCAATTACAATAAAAAAACATGGAATATTTTCATCAAATTGAGTCAAAGGAGTGAATACAATCATATTTGAATAATAAATAAGATTCAAATCATGATGTGTAATAGTTATGGTTAGTATAAGTATCAAATGATGTCTTTTGATCCCATTAATGCATTTGTTACACTCATAGATTGAATGAACATTATTTTTTTCCTTATATTGATAATTTTTTTAGTAGATGATATATTAGTATGTAGCAAAACCTTGAATGATCATATGCATCATTTATGAGAATTATTTCAGATTTTGCAAGAAAATGAATTAAATGACTAAGCTTCAAAATGAAAATTTGACGAATCAAAAGTAGATAAATTGTGACATAGAATAACATCATAAAACATCCAAATTATGAAAGGGAATATAGAAGCCATTTGGAAATGAAATTAAACTAAACTAAAGAATTTTTTATGACTCATCAATATTTATTTTACAATTGTGAAATTTTTTATTCATCTAATTCAATTTTTTATATCTATATCAAGTAAAGATTAGCAATGAAGATGTATATAACCTCAAGAATTATTTTTTAAGAATTGAAAAATATTTTGTTATCCGTGTCAAGAATAAATAATAAAACTATAATCAATCTAGCAACTTGAGTTCGAATGCATTATTTACAATAATGAAGACATATAATAACAAGAATAGAAGTATGTATGAAATAGAAAATATTTATCTTCTCAAAAATTGATGCTTGAGAGAAAAATTATAACACAACAAAACAAAAATTTTGGATCATTATTTGAATGATACAAAATTTGTGATAAAAATATTCCATAAATAATTATTTAATCTAGAAATTCAGAATTTAATTTTTCAGCACAAAATTTGATGAAGATACTGACATCAACATAAAGATTAAATAAGTTGTTAGCAAGAAATTTGGAGATGTTCTTTGATGCCATATATTCATCATGTTGCAGAAATTTCAAATCAATTGGTGAAGCAAAATCACACATGCCAAAAAAAAAGTATGAATAAGAAAGTTTACTACAAGCTTATAGAAGCTCAGCTGAAGTAATAATCATACGTAGATGAGTTTTTGCTGGTACAACCACTCGATTGTCCACTTCTAATAAACGTAATTGACCCAATTCTAAATCATCATATGAAATCATATAACTGTCAAAAGTTAGTATCATGATCATGAAAGCACTGTAAGTTAGAAAGGTCGAGAAGTTTCAAGATTTAGCGTTTTTTTTTAAATGTCATACAATGCATATGAACTCCACAAGATCAAAGATTACACATAATTTTGTCTTAAAGTTATTATACAACTATTGCAAGACATGTGAAAGTGGGACAAAACTTTTAAAAGCATACGCCAAGTGTGGTATTGTTTAATAAAACATAAGTATGTGAAGGTTTATGTTTGAAGTTGTGTAGCTTGTCAACATAACAAGTCAAGTTATCAAAAACTAACTACTTTATCACATTCTTTTGTGTTTTCAAAACAATGATGTAAACATACGTGAGTTATCAAAAACTTTGTTAGGAAATTATTTGAATACAATTTTTATGAACAAATTGAACAAAATCATTTACATGACGTCTATCATGAAAACAATATTGATATCACAACTTGTTTAATTCTATCTAGGTGTAATTTTTGAAATTCATAACTTAAAAAAATATTAATCACTGATAGAGTTGATTCTTTCACAATTCTATTTTTAAAATTTTGTTAAGCTTCTTAAAAAAAACTAGCAATGTCAACAAACATCATATTTTCATACCCAAGGAGTTGATCAAACGGAGAAAATTAGAATAACTATAGATGATATGTTACAATCTTTCACAATTAAAAAACAATAAGATTGAATTTTTTTTTTACTATTGTGAAATTTGCAAATAAATTTTTTATTCATGCACACATAAAAGTATTTATATTGTATCTTGTATGCAATGTTCATCTCATAATTTAATCAAGTTTGAAGAGATTTCTGACCCAAAATGAGTTTTTGAACAAGTTAGAATTAGTGTTATATTCACAAATAATCCCTAGTAGAAACATCAAAGTTTAATACTAGATTTTATGATATGAAAATATGTTGATGAAGTGTCATAAAAATAAAAAATTTAAGCACAAATGAAAATACATTTTCATGTCATAAATCACGATCAAAATAATTCATCAACCAACCAACATTGATTAATCTTCCAACTTTGATAGTTGATCATGAATAACTTAAAAGAAAATATAATCAAGAAACGGATTTAAGAAAATAAATATTCAAAAATAATGTACTAAATAATTTTTTTTTATCATAATAATCAAATTAAAACTCAACCAGATTTATAACTAATGCATCTATATGTAACAAAGACATAAGATGCAAGGAGAATGTTATATTCTTAAAGGAGTAAGGTTTGTAACCATTTTTATTAAATTAAAACTAAGACAAGGTATATTTAAGCTTTAAAATAAAACAAAAATTCGTTATAATAAGCTATCTATCAATCATATAATTAGGTAAAAATTACAAGTATTAGTAAAAATTACAAGTATTAGTTCATAGTGACACCGTAGACATTTCTTTGCTTGTAATGTAAAGATTGAGTTCACTAGTCAGAGTGTTAATTGAAATTTAATGACACATCAAAAATCAATGTGTTTGTTAAGTATATCCGTGATTTTATTTATCCAATTGGAGTGAAATGAATGATGGTATTGATAACTTCTCTTCTTATAATTGTTGGAAAAATTTATATAAAAAACATGAAAACTATTTTATATCTATCTCATCTACATAGTTTATGTTTCATCTTTTAAATAAGATAGTCTCGTAACTCCTAGTATCACATGAAATAGTTTGATGAACAGAGAAAGAAATTGTTGAAAAGCTAATGAATATAGACTTTGTTGAATTTTTTGTTGAATAATTTCCAACAAGTCATATTTTTTTAAATTTTTGATGTAAATTATAGCGATATAGATTTTTTAATGTATATTTTTATTTCTAACTATGATGAAGATTTTATTCTAACAAATAATAGTCTACAGTTCAATATGTGTTTACATCAACGATGAAGAAGTATATAACTAAATATACCAAATTATCAAATATGTAGCGGCAATAGAAGAAGAAACTAGTTTATTTTGTAAAAAAATATAAGATTGAAAGATAATGCTATGAATCTTCATCATGATAATTAGATTGCTTTTCATTTTTTAGCAAATCAATTGAGTAATAGCAAAGTAAAGCACATTGATATCAGATATCACTTTATCAGGGTTGAAAGTTATGATGAAAAAGTTGAACTAATCCAAATTTCAATAAATTCTATCTAGCGAATACATTGATGAAAGGTGTTTGTTATCAAAATTTTAATAGCAACTGGTCTACTTGACATGTTAATCACAATTTATTTATCTCTAACTATATTTCTACCCTAAACCCTAATACCTAAATTTTTGCTTTGAGTTTACTAGAAGGTATTCCTAGTCAAAGTTGGCTTAAATTTATTTAACTCTAGTGTTACATAGAAACCTAACTTAGGCTTTTTTTTAGAATAAATGAATGTGTGTATATATATGAAGATCATAGTTTTCAAGACATGAATTGAAGAAAAGATTGTCAGAAAACAATTTAATTCTTGATATCATTCTAATTGGTTTCAACCCGATTAGTTAAGATGATTGTTCTGTCACTATATAAGAAATTTCATCAAAAATCTTAGTGACATTAAAGTCTTGTATGTGAATAAAGCTTGAATTGATTTTCTAAACGCGATTGGCAATGATGAATCTTGTATTTTAGTGTCTTTCGTCTGCTTGTGATACATTTTGGAAGTGAAGTCTTGCTTGCTCATGTACATATCCTGACATAAATTAATAAAATGATTGATACAATACATACATTTTTCATGCATGATGGAGACATTTCAAAAGACATGCATGTTTATGAAAGCAAAAGTGCAAGCAATTTTTTATTGATCAATAATTGAATAGATTCAATAAGAGTGAATGCTAGTATCTTCTCAATTTCTAAAAACTCTAAAATCACATGTGTAGAAGGTATATAAAGACAATACTTTTGGTTACAATTAATGACAACGTATGAAGAATATAATCATATAGAAATATAATTCATATAAATCATGGAAAAAAATGATTTAGATGCCAAGAGATTATATATCAGCAAGATTCTAATGAAGAATTGTGTGTGTGTGTATATATATATATATATATATATATGTTGTATAAATGTATGAATTTATGATCATTTATATTTAAAAATTTTAATAATTTACTTGAATATATATATTGATTCAGGAAATTTATTTTATTATTTTTGTAGTTTTCAAAAAAAATTAAAAATTTTCAATAATCATAAGCATATTTTAGAATTAAATCAAAGTTGCATTAGATTGAAGATATTTTTTGAATCAATTTTTTGAGTTTTTATTATAATATGATAAATTTTTTAAGATTATTTGTTAAAAAGTTCTACAAGATCTATAATAAATCACTTTTTGTATGTGACTACTAAATATTTACATGTTTAGTAGTATGTAAATATGTAGTAGTATATTTAGTGTATTTAAATATATCCGTTTTTTTATAAATTAATCTTACTATCTATATTGATAGTTCAAATGTTGTATAACAAAAAACTGCATAATTAAAAAAAAATTCCTTAACTGTTTCATAAAAAAAGTATTCTATATATTTGATTCCAAAAATTTTGCACACAAGATTAAGTATTAGAATCCAATTTTTTCCTGAGATATTTTTTTAATATTTTATGTTGATTTAACTTAAAAGAATAATATTTATTAATAAAATTTCAGCTAATAATATATTCAAAAGGTTGGAGAAATTTCAAAAATTTTGAAATTTTGATACTTATGCATAATTTTTATTATTAATATATTTTCATTTTAAAATTAATCAAAAGTAAAAAGATCTTTGTAAATAGATTTTCAAAAAAAAAGTGAAGCCTTTCAATAAAAAATTTCTTTATGTCAACATCAAAAAATAATTCATCATTCAAAATTAATAGCTATAGTGACCATAATATGAAACAATTAAAACTTCATTAAATTTTTTTATGGCTTAGATTTTAATCATTTTTAGAGATTCTATAACTTTTAGACTAAATTTTGTCATGATATGAAAACTGCCATCTGAAACATTAATTTTTTCTCCCAAAATGTTACAAAATTTAACTAAAATATCGATAATAAAATTTCTTCACCACAAATTTATTTTTTCTTTCAATGCTGAATTTTGAGAATAGTAAATATTAATGTAGTATAAAAATATAACAATAATAAATTTTTTAGCAGTATATATGTATTCTTTTTATCATATGTTTTACAAAATTTTCAATCAAATATATATTAATAAAGATATATGCATGTGTTCTGTAGTATGAAAATAATGCATTCAAAAGATTGTATTGAATTGTGGAATTTTGTTTTGAAGATTCATATGTATACATTTGCATACGTTTAATTTTACGAGATATATTTTAAAAATATATATTGTTTGGTATATCTGAACTATGAAAGGAAAACAACTTCAAACAAACGACATGTCACAACTAAAATAGAATATGCAGATAGATTTTCTTGCCAAAATGTAAGTTGCAATTCAATTTTGACTCACTTCAAATCATGAGAATGGAGAAGGCAGATGGTAGACTTCTAATTTCAAGAAATCAGTTAACCTGCGGGTCAGTTATCAAAGATTGATAAGAGTAGGGATAAGACACATGCAACCTTGAAGTCAACCTGAAGCAAAAATTGATACCGTTGTGTTTAATTGAAAGTAACAATCAAACAAGGAACTTACTTGATGGACCACTCCAAAAAAACAACACATTCGATGGCCCTGTAGTCCCACCCTCAGCGATGTTCCACTATTATCTGGGTTTGGGCATGCTTCATGCTTTAAGATGGATTATTAGGTGATTTCAGATGAGATCCTCTCGAGTAGTACAGTACTTCATGGCCATAATATTGTGAACAACTTTCACTGAAGTTAGTCGCAATGGCAAATTTGAACATTATTCTCGTCAGCTATGTTGCGTCTACGTTTTTCTTCTGTAAAGCGGCACAATTGTATTTGTCCACATTGCTTTCTACTCCGCTCGACTCATCATCGGCTCTTGTAGGTCCCTCATTTTTATGGTTCCATCATAGCAAAGCCATCTCTATTACCGGATTCACGAAGAAAGTTTAGAATTTAATGAAATCTAGAGTTGTAAAGAAATCTGCACTACCGGATTCACAAAGAAAGTTTGAAATTTAATGAAATCCATAGTTGTAAGTGTCCATCGCTTGCTAACGCATGAACATATAGCCCACTGCATGGTTGGGAAAGAGTCGCCAAAATACTCTTTCCCGCGATGATACTTAAGCAAATTATCGGGTTATAAGAATTTTTATCTGATGGTGGATTTCATGGGTACATCCCAGTAAAAGGAAACCTCTTGGATCCAATAAAGTAATTTTCTCAAGCCAAAGAGTTGAAATATCAATCCAGGAAAGAAGTAAAACATGAAAAATCGCGTAACCAGGATTAACACGTAACGCGAAGCAAGCCGGGAAGGTATGAGCAAGATTAGATTCTAGGGGTACGAAATAGGATCCGAAGGCAGTTGGCATCGTGGAAAGCAAGCGTGTATCCAATAGTTCCTTCTGCCTGACAGCCCTCTCAGAGGATCCATGGCACTTCAAGTTTTCATTGGATCCCCAGTCGACACGCAAAAGGGCAGGATATACAATGCATACGGATTTCGCCCATAATGGAATTGAACAACAGGAAACGTCAGTAGCAATGATGAAGCATGGAAGGATGGTCACTGGTGAGGCATGCTAGTGGGGAAATCAACACAGGCGCAACGTTTAACAATGGTTGAATAAATGTAGAACAAGGACGTCGAACACTCACCATGCAGATAAGTTCAGGTTTGAGCTAAACAGGTTTTTATCTTAGATAATTCTGTATCTTAGATAGTACTAGGACATATCCGTGTATTATTAATTTAGTTTGTATATGTACCGTTGGATAATTTCGAATCTCTCTGACTATGTAAAATATGGAATTTCTTTCCCTATCATGGAGACGATTTTGCAAGGTCAGATTTTGAAATGCATAATCTTCTTGTATATATTATGGACAAACATATATTACTATACATAGATGATGAGATGTGTTGTAATTCATGAAAATAACATCCCTAATTTTTGTGTAGTAATTTTGGTTTTCATCAATCGATATGATATGTAATCTAATAGATATATACAAGTCACCAATATTTAACCAATAATGAAATCAATTTCTTCTCACGATAGGAATTAAAGAAAAATATAACACAATTTAGCAAGTGAACATGCTTCAATAAATAAAGTATTATATTTCAATCTGTGTACAAGATGGAGTATCTGCTATTCGAATGGATTTTACTTTCCGTCATTTGAGGATAAAATTTACATCATTTGAATCAAAGTTTTACGCAACTGGAGTAGGATCTGTCGAATTTGATTACATATATAAAACCTGATCCTCGTATCTTCGCGACGAGGTGATAATATTAGATGCTTTTGGCTTACGGAGGTGCGCTTTCTTCCAGCTTTGTGAATAAAATGAAGTGCTGGAAATTTACGTAAATACGAAGTTCAAAATCAAAATGATCCATCCAATTCCAAACAGTTATTTTTCCAAAATACCTCACCATATACAAGTATTACATAGATAATTTTCGTCTAAAACTTGCACATGGTATGATAGATTTGAAATTCATTTATTGATGTGAGGTTAATTTTCTATGGATTCCCCAAAATACGTAAATTAAAACCTTATGAAAAATTCCGGAAGATACTTGGTAAAGGAATGCTATTAATAACTCAATAATGCATCAGAAATAGATATCATGTTATCCTACGAATCAAGGATATATCTTCACATCCACTTGCACAGCCTAATCGCTCTCAAAAGATCGGAAACTGAATATTCCGACCAACAATATTCAAATATCGTACGGAATACATTCGGCCCACGAAACGACCGAGACATAAACACATACTCTACGGAGACATGCAGCAATTGTCATGATTAAATGCACCAAAAGATGGTTGCCTGCAAAGTTTCACTGAGAAATATAAAGCGTCCACAACGACAGAGAGGAACATTTATCACTGGATATCGCTCCCGACAGATTGGAATGTATTTAAAGCGTCAATTGCTCTAAGACATTCCAGTATGTCAGGCCCAATGAATTCGGCTGAGCTAATTAAATGATATCGAAATTTTCACTATTGAGATCCAATAATCACCTGTACAAATATAAATCTGACAGGTATATGAGAGCACTATTTACACGAGTCTACAACTACAAGCAAAATTGTATCAAACTTTTCAACGTCGTCGGAGGATGATATTTATGATGAGTCGTATAGCATCGAGAGTAAATAGTAAAAAAGGGCGAGAAAAGTGGATGACACTAGTTTCATTGAAAGCAAAATTAACTAGCCACCAATACCGTACTGGATGAAAAAGATCTACGGAGTTGAGACTACATTCGTCCGTTCTCCAAATCATATGATCCACCATTTACTCTTGGACGAGTGTTATGAATGGGGTGCTGACTGCCATGTTGACTGGCGTGAGATGCCAGAGGTACACTTACAAGAGGTATATATGGGTATGGGTAACCCGCTGCATTGACAAGAGAAAAACACAACATTACTAATACGATTACGTCTGCAGCATCCAAACCCACCTTCAATGTCCAAACGCATGCTAGTAAAACCAGAGTTGGCAAAATGTGATTCAGTCTATGTCAAGAATGAAGGATTGAAACTTACCCTTCTCATCACTGAAATCTGGGAAATGTTGCTTGTAACAGAAATATGCCACAAAGAATCCTGCACTCAGATAACAAAATAAGATGTAAGGACTCGTACCCAAGGGGCCAATTTTGAACGAGGAATGTTACAAGCTATCTATGCATCGAAGTTAAGAAGAAATTACAAGGACAAGCAAGACACTGGGTTTGGCAAGAACCTTGTACTCTAGGCGAAAGAGACACGGGGTTGCAAGTTCTCACCTAAGAGTCCACCGGCTGTGACATCCTGCCAATGGTGCCAGTAGTCATCAACGCGGGAGACGGCAACCAAGGCAGCAGCCAAGAGGGGCAAAACCACCAGTGAAAGTCTCCATGTGAATCCCCTCCTGTCAAATATGACAAGCTTCCCTGCTAGATAGAAAGATAGATAGCCAAGGCCAGCGAAAGACCCTGTATTCACAACAGAATGCCATGCATGAGCATCTGTTGTCTAATGATGTGCCTCAAAAAGTTGCCTTCCTGTGCCTCAAACGTACACCGGGCAGTGGGAGGCAGAAGACTTCAAGTAACTCTTGTGCAATTTACCATAATGAGCCGGTAAAAAGTGGAAGAATAACATAATTTTATTAAAACTTCGAATTGCTCAAGGCACATCAAAACAACTTCCAGCGCAAAAGCGGCCAATTTTGTATTAGTTAGATCACGTACATGAAGTGTGGCCACTGGGGAAACTCTTGTATCCTTCTCGGATGACGGCAGGGTCACCGGAGCATATCACTTCACGAGTTATCATGTCATAATTCTGCAGAAATACAAGACGGGCAGTTTCTTTTAGTCCAAATTCATCATTTCAACTTGGAGAATGTAGGCGTTATGATCACAAACCAAGAACCAGACGAAAAGCCAAAAATGGTAGTAAAATATGAGGGATGAATTTCTTATGACTTGAGTATCCAAATTAACAGAGGAACCTTGTTATGAACGGCAATGAGCAAATTCCAACTACACATATACACCAGTGATTACCCTGATTCACACCAGTCACTTCAAGCAAGGACTGACATAAATTGGGTCAGAAAGGACACAGAACAAATTGACAAGCATACCTCAAAGCCATCAGGAAAACACCTCCAGAAAAAGTCAGGCCGTGGACGCCCAACCCCATCCTTGATAGAATCGGTAAGGACGGCTGTTATCAAGGCCGCAGTTAATATTCCTGCATTCCAAAATAATACGCCGAATGGTTGAGAAGTATTTGATGTTAAATGTCATCTTCCACACTAGCATGCTCAGGAGACAGCATCTGGCTGGGGTTCATGTCTCTGATTTGAAAGATCGAAAGAACTGCAGGAAAAGCAGCGACGGGGTCCATCATGAAGCGTAAACTTATCGGCTTCTCAACTTACCAAGTATAGCATGATGTAAGTCCCTAACGTCCCTCCTCTTGAAGAAATAACCTATGAATATGAGGATGGGAAGCAGAACTGCGTAGATCTGCACGAGATGACAAAGCAGTCTATTCAGCAGCTGTGACTACTTACAGAATACTTTCATATACTAGATGAAAGCAAGTCTACGTCTAAGTTCACAACAGGGTCACGCTCGCAGGAAACGAAAGGCAATAATTTCAAGCTCTTAAAACAATGGCCTTGAGATAAAAATGCAGAGATTGCTCACCGGCACACTCCAAACAGGAACAGTGTTCTTTTTGTGTGGAAACCTGACCGAGTCAATGTTCATGGATCCAACGTATCTATTGAAGGGATGAATGATGTTCAAAACGACATCGAGAATGATCAGAAGTACGATAACCAGCCAATCTTTCAAATGGTGCTTAAATAGCTGACCCAATTTCATATCGGGTATAACCTCGTCATTTCTTGTATCAGTTTCATCAGCCATGGTTTCTCTTAATGAAAGCGGTTGTTCATCCAAGCCCTCTACCGGTCTTCCTGCGCAGCCGAAAGATATAACCCAGGAGAGATTCAGTACAGGACAAAAGAAATCTTGATGTGGTAAAAAGGCTCAAAGTAGCTGAAAAAAAACGAACTCTGAGAAGCATGAGCAGATTGCAGGCGATGTCACATCACTACATATGCATCGGTGTACCCTGCTGAGAAATCGATTAATTAAGTTAATTAACCCTCAGTTCGGCGAGACCCTCTTGAGCTTGAGTAATTTCGCAAATTTCAAACAAGTGCTCACCCACGTTAGTGTCTGAAACAAATAAGAAATCTTTCGTAGATCTAGACACAAAGTCACTGTGTTCCAATCTGAAATTTCGAATGTGGTTACCATACAGTAAGCTCATCAAACTGAACCATGCTCATTGACCGTCTGCCAAGTTATGCGCACGACGACAAAGCGTAAAGCAGAGGGCGATGTTCAAGACTCCAGAACATGACTGAAAGAGAGGTCTACGGACAACCTGAATCATGTAAAATTATCATTAAAACATAGTGGTTGTGAACTTGGGCTAGCCTCAAAAGTCTCCGGCCAGATCTGTCAAGACTAAGTTAATCAGACTGACCATTAATATCAGCAAGTAGCCCTCGAATACACCGAATCAAAGCACCGATTATAAGCTCCCGAAAAACTGAGTCGACTATCTAGAAAATAAAACAACCGTTGTCTCTCACCGCGGCAATAGCTACACTCCGTTAATGCCCAACACAGAACGACTTGAAACGCAAGTCCAGAGGAAAATCCACTACGTCGGCTTGTGAAGTATATATCACAGTCTAATTGCTTATTGCAGTTTTGTGGTTCAGAGTTTCTCCTTAATTTCAAACTCCTTTCGCCTAAAGTTGTGATACCCACTCAATGAAGTTCAGGATAAGGCCCTCCAAATAGCCCAAATCGAGAATGTCGTCGCGACTACAAATCCAAGCATATACACAACGACTACCGCATGAACAGAGCCTGGTATGGTGGAACCAGCTCGAAAGGGCTGCACTTCCTCTTATGCATGTCCCTTGTTAACTCAGTTATCAGATCCCTTAGATTCACGATAGACTGACGCTCGCAGTGACTGCCGCATTGGGGGACTCGGAGGAACATTTTCCCACTCTAAACTCTGCGACGCAAAAGGACGAAGTACAGTTGAACAAGCTTTCGGCATGGATAAAATCGAAGCGACCTTGAAACCGGAAAATCAAATTTAACCAATCACTTGATGACTCACTCATTCGAGCTCCTTGCAAACCTAAGAAGGAAGGATCTGATCCAATTTACCCCAATACGGATCAACAGATTCAGCTGACGCCATGGAGTTCAGCTCCCGCTGCATGTCCTTCTTCGAACCGTTAAAGCTATTCACCATCTCCCCGTCCGAACCTAACCTGCTACAACTACAGTCTATCCCCTGAACGAGAGCACCGACTCAAGTTCTCCCCTCGACAGATTTTCCCACCAGACCTGTCTCCACATTCATTCAAGGCGTTGCTCCCTCCTTCCCTGCCCGGCTCTCCCTTCGCATCATCCACTGAGGTCCAGTGGGAAGAAACAGTCTTCGCTTGGGATGAGCTCGAGAAGAGGTAGAAGTAGTTCTGAAAGAAGTTGTTGGGCTTACTCGTGTGACAGTCAGGTCCCGGGCGGACGGGTATTCTCACAACATACCTCGCTTCCCCGGGACCCCAAAAAAGTCACCTACACTGAAGAAATCCATAGGCCTTTATGGAGGACTCTCATCACTCGGGAATAGATTCATGGGCCCACCACCGGGGCACTAGATGCTCCAGATGCTCCCGACGCTCATCACATGATTTGTAACTCCCGGAAGCAGTTCTAGCTGATCTGAGCGTATCGGACCTTCGTGTGGGCCTGGACCGGAGGATCCCTCCCTCCCTCCCCTCCCCCGCCCCTCGCGAAGGACCTCGCTTGTCTCGAACACAGCGACGGGGCGGGACGGAGGGGGAGGTTTCAGAGAAGGGGAGAACGTGCTCGGGTCCGATCTAGTTAAGTAAGCCGGAGAATTCCGGACAGCTCGAACACGAATCTGGGAGTGAGAGATTACTCCATCGAGCTTGAGGGCCGGTCAGAAGTTCCCGCCGGTGGAGCAGTTCCAGGCAGGGGAAGAAAAGACAGAGTCTTTTGTATTTTATAAGCAAGCCCGACCACTTAATAAAGGCCAGCTTTCTAGTCAAGCAGGCGCGACGAAACATCTTTCTCTCATGAGTGAGGCAAAGCCATCCAGGACGGCATACATGGTTTGATCCAGGCCTCAGCCCGTCAGCAGCAGCAGCAGCTCTGCCATTGGTCATTTCGATGGAGAGAGTGCAGGCAGGAAAGGGTACACATGGCTGCTTTCTCGTTTACGTACAGGTGTATCCCCTGCACGCCCCGTACCTTTCGTACATCCACCTCGCTAGGTGCCCTCTTCCCCCAGGCCCCCCCTCCTCCTCCCTCAGGGCCGAGGAGGAGAATCAGCTAGTGGGAATTCAGTAGGCATCGCTTGCCGCTCAAATCACGCTGCCACCTGCCGGCTTGTGGATGTCATGTGGTCCGAAGTCTGGACCGTGGATCTCATCGCTGCTGTGTTACGAGTAGACTTGCTTGTGCGACAAGATCTATACACGTCTACGTACTTGCTTGTCGTGGGGAGGGAAGAATGGTTATTTTGGCAGGTCCCTTCTGTACCAAATCCCACCGCTCTCTCTTGGTAGTACTGTAGTCTGTATGTGAGCCTGCGAAACTAGAAAATGTGGATGTCTGCGGGGTCATTTCTCAGTTTGCCAGGCCAAGTTGGTACGGTTCAGTTGCTCTCCTAAAAAAGCACGAACAGGGCACTCTCGGGAGAATTTTGTGCTGTCTTGCAGAGTGATCGTCGACGACTGATGGTGAGAGTCTTGGAGTCTTAGACACAAGTCCGGATCCTCGTAGAAGAGGCATGGCTCTGCACCCAGTACGTCGTGTGACGTCGGTGGTCAGAAAGTCTGGAGAACCGGGCGATCCGAAATCGCATCCGAGAGCCCACTTGTCACATCGCCAGAGAGATTCGCCGCCTGTTGCCTGGATTCCGTTGCTTTCGCGGTAGGGGTAACCTTCCTTCGAAGCTCACGTAAGCCTTGGGGGTCAGCGAGAGGCAATCAGCGACGTAAAAGCAACCGACGAGATGAGGCCACCGGCGGCCTGTCCTGCTTCCTCACCCTGCCTCACAACGCCTCCAGGCATCCGGGGCGGAAGCATGCTCGATGAGCTCTGAACTACAAACACAAAATCCGTACGCATAGACGTCAACAGGTAGTTTGGGTGTCGCATCACGAACTTTTCCGTGGAAAGAATAAGGAGGAGACGCATCGGCCATTGTCTGTCGCGGAATTGACGTCATGCGCACGAAGCGCAGCCTCCAATGCCAGGTTCTGGCTGAAATTTCCTTGCGGCTTTGCGTTTCTGCAGAGGAACGCGTGTTCGAACAACATGAACTGCTATACGCGTTCAATTGAGCTTACTTAGTATGGCCGAAGGTGGGAGGCAGAAAATAGCTCTTGACATTGTCTCCCACCACACTCTGACAACAAAAAAGGCGGCGAGCGGCTTGCATGTTGTTCACCCAACCGACTGCAATGGCAATTCAGGTTCGCTGAAATGTCTAAGGCGACCAATTTCTGTGAAATTTATGACACGGAAGTGCGACGTTACAAGTCATTTTTGTTACGGTGATCGCATTGTTCCCGAGCATTCGAAGATCGTGTCTTTCTTCTCTTGATAATAAGAAAAGATTGCGCGGACGAGGATATAATGCCAGTGACATGACTTCACACTGAAGGTTGAAAAAAGGAGCTGCTCCAGCTGCTCTACATGGAATACATGTTCGTCAATCCCAGCACCGCCTAATCGATGTCAACGTTATTCACGACGTAACATTCCGATAGCTACTATGCCGCTGATCCTGTTAATCCCACAGAACGACATGAATGGGGCAAGTATGCTTATCTCTATTTCCATAAATCAGAGCCGAAGCGCACGAGATTGCAGTCAACCTCGCGGACAAAATTGCCTCGGCAACGTCGTTATAGAAACAGCGCTGTCAAGGACGCACTGCAAAATTTTCTTTCGACCGTATGGTGATTGCGTCCATTCTTTGAACGCTTGAACTGAAGGTGAACATGAACTGTTCACCTCACGTAAGCTCACCGAACGAGCACTTACGATTGAGGCCGCACTGCTATTGAAACTTGTGATACCGGAGTTCAGAAAGAAAATTAAAACTGTTGCAGATAGCTGCTACGGCGACATCTCATGCTCTCAAGGCATATGGGAAAATTGTGACTGGTTTCTCTCAAGAGTACTTAAACTCTTGAGGCTTCAATGCTACTGAAAACTCGTAGCACCGGAGTTAGAGAAGAAGACCCCCAATAAAACTTTGGAACAAGTCACGCTAGAAAAGAATGAAGTCCAGACATGTCTGCATGCCGTACCTGATTTAAAGGAACTCGGATCATGATCTCTATACTGCATTTCCATGACAGATGCCTACTGTAACTCGCTTGATGCCGTCAATTCCGCGCCCGTTAGATTCTTCAAAATAAATCTCAGAATTCCCAAAATTTTCGTGTCTTTCCTTAACTTCTTGACGACTTATCCCAATCTCGCTCCCCACTCTCGCGAAACGTCGCAGCAATGAACAACACCTCACGTCGTCGTCGTCGTAAGCCTACTCCTGAGCGATGCGCGGATTCAATTCTATTCGGCTTCGTACAAAACCTGTCTGGATTATGCAGTGAGTCTTAGCTGGAACAAAGCGCACCCCCTTATATGAATGCCCGACGTTCCCCGGAAGAGGAAAGAGGAAACAATTCCCCTCCACAGAGCCACGGAGTGAGCCTGAATTGAGCTTGAAGGCAGCTTGACCCAACACTGGCCGCTCTTGAGCAGGTCAACATTCAACAAAAGGCAACGACCGGGACGGGACGGGACAGGAAGAAGAGGAAGACGAAGACTCAGAGAAAAAAGGAAAAAGAAAAAAGCAGAAGAATCAGATCACTCCCTCGAATTTCGCGAAGGTTTCCTGGTAATAACACCGATGCCTCAATTAACCATTAAAAAAACAAAGACCGCACGCCCGGCCAAGAAACACCGGCGATGGTGACAAAGTCTCGTGACCACGGCACCGAAGAATGCACGGCGAACCTTCAGCTGCGACGCAACGCACCGCATCGCAGCCGATGAGGAGGAGGAGGAGGAGGAACAAGAAATGCAGAGGGTAAGGAGTCGAATTAGCACCTAGAGCTGAACGCGCAATTCCCCGCGACGCGACCGCACGTGACGAGTGATGAAATCCCCGCAAGAGAGAGAGAGAGGTCAGGTCAAGAAAGCCACGTCCGAGTTCGAGCCGCGCCGAGCGAATTGTCCCCCGCCTACCTAACGTTTCTTTGCCGGGCCCGTCGACGACGTGGACACCAACACAAAAAAGCAGAAACAAATCCAAACGCAAACGCAAACTCAAACTCAAACTCACACTGGCGGATGATCTCGCGGCCGTGGGCTTTTGTAAAGCTTTCGGCTCAAGGCAAGGAAAGGCGAGGCAAGGGAAGGGCAGGCCAGGGCAGGCCAGCTGCCCGCGGGCGGGGCCGCCCCCGCCAGCGTCCAACGGAGCGTCCCCCCGGTCAAAATGGTGCACCATGAATCTGGATCGAGCGGCAGCGTGCCTGCCTGCCTGCCTGTGGACCCGTTGCGACGGACGCTCCGCGCGCCGGCGGTACCTCCAATTTCAGCTGCCGCGCTTCTGCCGTCTCGGCGCCTTCGGCTCGTGATCATGACGAAAAGCGCGCGTCCGCGTTGCCATGGTGCTCTTCTTCTTCAAGAGGCAGGGAGAGGAGTGCTTCGCGCTCGAGAAGCACTTGCGATCGCACTTTCTTGCTGCTGCTGCTGCTGCAGTATTTCGCGCAATGCGACACGGCCGTCTTTGGCGAGGCTTGGATTAGCAGAAATCCGAGAGGCAAATTCCTGACACCGGTTGAGCTCGTTCTGCGCCATTTCGGCCGGTGCTCGATTCGTACCCGGTTGGATTCCACTCCGTTCGTGGAGCGCGTTGCGCTTTTGGCAAACGGGGACTCGCACAGGAAACAACTCGAGATTTCACTCGAGCGCTGCTGGATTTTTTGGCATAAGGCAGTTTGGTTTTTCATGGGCTGCTCGAGGTTTACCGCCGCACGGCGTGAGACGAGTTTTAGTCTTTCGACTGCATGTCGATGGTAGAAGTGATAATTTCATCGGGAAAACGTGGCCATGACGTAACTTGTATTCGGCTTTCTGGCTGTTTGCGTTAACACCGCTTTCCGGTGTCCGTATGTGTGTGAATGTTACGAGTATGTCACAAGTGTAAGTAAATGCTTGGTTCGCAACACGGCGCGTCGTGAATATTGGCACACTTACACGGTTCTCGTCGACTGTTTAGAATCCAAACTCTGTAGGCAGTGAACTTCAGGGTGGTAAATATTGGTACCCTAGCACACGTCACAGTGCATTTACTTTTTGTTAAACTGCAGTTCAATCATTTCAGATTCCAAATTTTCTGTTTAGTCAACTTTTCATTCAGATCAAGGGTATCTGAAAAGGCTGCAATCGAGAAGAAGCCGACGACAGTGTGAAGGTGTTTGACTTACGACCACATGTAAAAGTGGTGCGTCAACGTCGGACTCAATATAGGTGGAATTCTCGGCCCAGAATGCGAAAGGCGGATTGACTTGTATTTCCTTCGATTTCCTGCCGCCTGAGAACATCACATCCAGACGTCGACATATCCGATTCTGGCTTCACCAGAGCACGATATCCCTTTTCAGTGCCGTAAAATTTGTACACGCTCGTGCAGCCTAGTACTACGCCGCGAGCAACACCGTTATGAAAGGTGGTGGCTTTTGGAGTTGTGAAGGCATGGCGATACCCAAAAAGGTTCTCATTTCCCTTTCTTCTGTTCGCAATTCCATCGTTATAAATGCAGCCGGTCTCGCGGAGACCCACGAACCACTGAAAGATTACTTTTAAAAAAAGTTTCTCATTTCCCCTTCTTCAGTTCCCAACGCCATCGTTAAAAATGGAGCCGGTCTCGCGGAGACCCACGAATCACTGCAAAGTTACTTTTCTGCATCCCCTGAGCTCCCCAGTCGAGAACCTTCTCACACCGAAGCTTTTATAAATGTAAGGTATAAACAGTTGGTTCCACGAACACAATCCTGAGCGATGTTCAGCAATAATTTAATATCCTTCGAAGATGCAACAGTCTCCGAATGAGAGAAAATTTTCATTCCAGGTTCGAAGGCACCTTCGACACTTCGACTTACCCTTTCCGAGAGAAAGTGTAACAACCTCATGCAAAAAGCCCGCCGCCCGCAGCAAGAAAGGACTTCACATGCCCTCGGCTAGTCCAATCGACGTTCCAGCCATCCGCGTGAGAGAATAAGATGAGAATCACAGCGAGCTATGAGGCAGCATTGGAAGACTAAGGACCGAATGCCCTTCCGCAGCAGCAGGGGCGGAATTCTGGTCTCGGGATCGGGATTCTTACTCGCTCCAATCCCCAAATACCCGTTCCGCAGGACCTTCGCCATCATCCTGGAGATTCCTGGCCATGTTTCAGAGAGCCCGAGCGATAAATGTGACATCACGCCATAAACGACACGAACCAACCGATAAAAATTGGGATCACTGAGAGACAACGAAGGGCAGATTCCGGAGAAAAATAGGACCCCATCGATCTCCACAACGAGCGAGCGATCGATCAAAAGATGCTCGTTCTCATCCACGGCAGAAACTCTCGCGCACTACAGTAGATTCACGTGTCCCGGCGAGCGTTCCCAGTATCCTCCAAACAAGCCGATGCGGCATTCGCATCGGCACCAGAATCCGGATCGACATCACCATCGCCATAAACCATCACCCTGTCGTCAACGCGAAGAAAGGGCTGGCTCGCAAGCAACAGCTGTCGATCACACGGCGAGGCATACGTCCTCCTCCGAGTTCGCCCGACGCCCTCGTCTCCTGCGGTTGGACCTGTACCCGGTGGTACGTACCGTATGCCTCGAGCGTTGACTTCCTCAGACAACCCGGCATTGGCTCTTGTCTTTTATAGCTGCCTGGGGACGGCTGCTCTGACTCCCGGGTCCGGTTAAGTCCAAAGTGTACGGCCGAGCAACGACGTGGACTTGTCTTCCCCTCCCGGGACCTTCATCCCCTAAACCCGACGCCGGGCGGTATTGGGTTTGGCTTCCTCGAGTAACTCGAACATTCCAGCACATGGCTCCGAAAGTTCAACTTGGAAAATGTTCTCTAATGAGTTCATGGAATAATTTGATTTTAATAGAATGAAATAAAATATAGAATAGAATAAATTAAGATATTTCGTAAGTATTTTTTTATATTTTTTATTTTAAAGAGTCGTTTGATTCTCGTTATGAAGACCAGCATGGAATCCGCTTGCACCTGTTTCTCAAGGACTTGTGTCGAGAAACTAAAATCTCATCGAGACATTATATTTAGAATGCGACAAACTCGTACTGTACTTAAGGTGATTTGAAAATTTCACCTACAAGGAGAATAAGTGAATTTGGAAACAAGAATAATGTCACGATTTCTTGGTTGTGTTCGAAGAGATTAAATATTCAATTGACCTCCTTCACATTAGCGAGTCGCGCGTGATAGCTCCAAACCATCCCACAGCAACCAAATGATTACAAAGGTGATGAATGGAAGCGTGAGATTATGACATCCAATGAGATTGGTATGATCCATTACTTTAGGATATTTATGAACATGAAATGTTTAAATAACGTTTCATACACTCACTTGAATCATGATTAGTGCATTATACACATGTTGAGCAAACAGAAGTATCAGAGCTTAATGAAACAACGTGTTTTGATTAAGAAATAGCTTTCAATCCATCAGGAGAGTTTAATATCCCTAAAGAATAGTTTTTAATCATATATGAAGAATATAATCGGTAACTATGAATAACTCTGTAACCTAGAGAATAATTGGATACAAGTTTAATAAAATGATCAAAACTATTGCAGAATCAGTATAATCAAGCTTCTTTTAATATTAACTCTGTCTCACATGATCATAACTATCTTTTATAAGCCCCACAAGATTTTGTTGCCTACTTAGACAAACAGTTCTGCGAATATCATCGATTGATCAAGACATTCATCAATCCTACTTTCACTCTGTAATCACTCATATAATGGAAACCGAATAGACAGAGTGAATCTTAAAATATCAGGGTACAAAACACGGCAAAGAGACACGGCTCAACGGATACACCGTTTGGTGTGTCCCAAGGTGCCACAAATACAGCTCCTGTACTGAAGAATTATTCAAATCAGAAATCTAACAATTACTTGCTCTGTGCGATAACATTTTGTGGTTTCTTCCACATACATTTTATTTTCCACATGAGAGCATTTGCCCAATTAAGATGCTCTCGCAGAATGCCTTGTAAATTTGATTGAAAACTTCCTTTCTCATATGCTCGAGCTGGAAGTCAATTCAGAGGACCATAAGGGTAGATTTGAGTAATTTCAACGAAGCCAAGAGTATACTAACCACATTAGGTTTGAAGACAAGCTTGAAGGCTGCATCTGAATGCCGAAGGGCAGATTACTACCTACTGGCCCCAGATGCCACCGCTCACGAAACACGATGATTTGGGTGTCCATGATAGGGAATTAGTGCCACATAACCGTTCCCTAAATTCCACATGGGACCAGGCCGGCGATGGGCCTTGTCGCCCATGGTTTTCAGGGAGCCTGCAGTGGTTTATCTGTACACCTGATCCCCATGAGTTTCTCCTGTCTCCCTGTAGGGTCTCGTCCTTTCCTGCCGAGAGATTTCCTTCAGACGTCCTTCGCTTGGCAATGTTTACTCCTTCATTTCTTCAGTTCCCAAATATACTCCATCTTACTGCAGTTGCCTGGAACTGGACCTGTTGAGTAGGTTGTCGGTGATTTATGCGATGATTTTCTTCCATATATAATTTTTACTCTTACCACACCGGAACGGTTGTAGTTTAGCACAACTAACATGCGACCAAAGCGAGAAGATTATGAGGTAATTAATGAGGCGGAAACCAGGAATAAAATTTTGTGTATCTCGTGCAATCCGGAGATCCCTTGGACGCAGATACCAGGTATGAAGCAGATCCGTAGGGAGGCGTCCATCTTTGTTACTTGGATGTTGCATAATTTTAGTGATCACAAAAATTCCAAGGTAGCATGAACTCATGACCGAACTCATTGAGAATGCAAAATGCATTTTCGTGTGAGGATTTGTCACTCAAATGAAAACTACTCTGTGAAATCTTGCTTGGCTCGTTAGTTTTGTCCTGTAACATTGAAAATTGAAAAGAGAGGAAAAAATTAAAAAAAACATTTCACATTTTGAAGACTAAAAAATCTTAGATATTTAATAATGTTCAAAAAATAATAATAAAATTTCACCACTACCATTCAACTGATTCCTCAAGAAGACATGATTTGACAAATATCACTAACAACATGATTACATGACACAATGATTTCTAGCATGTTGTTACCAACTTATACATTCTATCTTTATATAATGAATGTATACAATATTAACATGGAAACTATTAATATTTTATCATGAATAAAGTTGTTGTTATATATCTTCATATTGAAAAAAACATAATTTATTATACATATATAAAAATATGAATAAATTTCATCCACATAAACTTATGATCTCAAACTTTTGAATCATCAAACGCAGATTGGTTAGATTTTTAGTTAGGTTCCAAATTCGTTCATAAGCTATATAATTATCACAATGAAGAAGATTTTCTCTTTTGAATCATTTGTGTTCTACCTTTCATTTCTTGACTATATTTTCAATCTTGAATTCATGATAATAAGCAATCAAAGTTGATGGAGAAAGAGTGTCTAGTGAATTAATATATTGATTTGGTCGTGATACTTGTTGCTGCAATTGTTACATATGGAAGTTTCAACTTGGAAAAAAATTCACAGACATGTTCCGAAACCAAAACATAACCTATAAAATGAAGATTAAACTTTCATTTATTTACAAGAGAGATTTTTTATAGATGAACATCTTATGTTGACAAAATCAACACACTGCAACTAATATCAACATGATGAATTTATTGCTTTTGAGTAATTGTTAATTTTCAGTGGTTTGTTGCAATATTTTATGAAAGTGATCCACATGTTAGTTGAATGCTGCTACGTTAATTGAAGACTTTTTTCTTTGATTTTTTTTTTCAGATATAATTGAATTAAAAAATGAAGATCAGACAGATATGATTTATTTTTGCAAATTATTGTATGAATATTTTGTAATAGTAAATACTTCATCAATAAATCAAAATTTTCTCTCATATTAAATTCAATAATCTATATTTTCTTATAGTATTAGTATTTTCTTGGAAAATGGGTTTATTCTAATATATTAGAGTACTAATATATAATACATTTGTTCGGTTATGAAAGTATTTTCAAAGTATTTTCTATTTTCCAATAGAAAAAATATTTTTCCAAACGCAAAAGAACGTAATTAAACTTATATATATAAGTAAAACAAATGAAATATCAAAGTTTAGTCCCGGATATCCCACAAACGAACTCGGCTCAATGTCTCATGACTGGTAGTGCGAAGGGAGAGTACAAACAACTGACTGCTGCTGTGGTAGAGGTCAACCACGTCACAATGATAGCGATGTCACCTGGTCACACGATGCACACAAACAGTATCGGTCACCAGCGACCGACTCTACAGGTACAGTTCCAAGACCTACGGTACGATGGAGCAAATATGGTAGAGTAAAGGGCAGATCGAGGAAAACTCCGCCGGGAAACTTAGAAACCAAAGCCATGATTGACTGAACTTTGCAGAACTAAAGGACTGCTGAGAAAGTAATTCCTGCTCCCAGGTTTGTACAAGACTCGACCTCCACCAACAGGGGAGAGAGAAATGTCAGTAGAGAGCAGGACTTTGTGCCAAACCGCTAAACCGCCAAACAATACCGTTATCATGCACAGCCGGGAAAAGCATATAATCACCAATTCCTTGTCTTAATCCTCAACTTGGGGGAGGATGGACGAGCGTTGACAAGCGATGCGCCCGAAGGAGTGACATCACCGAAAAACACGTCCACGAGTCCCTCTCATTCAAGATAACGAGCTGCTTTCGGTCCAAATTCGGCGATTGGGCAACTCGGAAGTTCCGATTTATGCCTTATTACAGAAGTGTCGTCGAGGAATAGAAGGCTGCCGATTTTACACCAACATTGTGCAAAAGGTGGTGAGGTATGCCCGTCTCGGCAAGAGTCAGTGGCCACGATCGTCCGGGGCCTCGGCATCCATCCACACCGTACGGTACCTTGATGAGAGATGAGAGCCTTTGTACGCCGCGTGCAGTGCAGTGGCCACAGACCAACGTTGGAGGCGAGACCATGCTTCGCGCCTGATCCAAATCGCAACGTCCCCTCCTCCCATCATTCGCATGCCGGCCTGCTCGACAGTTTCGAGCCGGACCTGTCGAGACGTTACGCGCGCAGTAAGACAGAAGAATGGCAGCATTCCGACCCTCGGCTGCATCGAGCGCTCTCGACGGTCAAGTGCTCCGCCGGTCGAACATTCCCCTGCTATGTGCAGGTCGGAAGGAAAGTGGGAGGGGGAGGGGGAGGAATTGAGATGTGGATGGGTATCGCATTACTCGGGCTGGGCAACGAGATCTACGTGTACGCTGGCTTGGTCCAGGTGGCGCAGGGTCGGTCCAACTGTCAAGCGGGTGACGCGGCAGTCTGCTTGCTACGTGGGATCGGCATGACTCACATGCCACCCTGGCATTTTGAAGCTCTTGTCGTTCGTGACTGCTGCTCGGAAGCTCGCCGTCGATTTGGTTCGAGCTTTCCGATCGGTCCTCTTTGTGTTTGTGCTCCATCGTCGAACAGCTTATTAGTAGTAATTGGTGTGCTCACTGAGCACACCAATTACTAATCACTGCACAAGGAAGGCACGACATGATTCGAAGCTGTTTCATGGAGTTTCTTTTCTCAGCGTGTGCGGCTTCAGTTACCGACATTTGGCACTTTCTCTCAGATGTTGTCCATTATTTGAAGGCTTAGTGTCCTCTGTGCGTCCAGCTTTCCTTCCGATCCTTGTCCTTTACCATGGTTCGCGTTGGGCAAGTTGCTGGTTAGGAGTTGTCGTACTACGGTTGGGCCTTTACTACGTCAATTCAAGAGCAATGACTTGGTTTTAAATTTTATAACTAAAAATCTTTTCAACAATATGTACAAAGAGAGAAAAAACATTCCTCATTCTACCAGAATATTAGCTGATTGAAATCTGAATCTGGTTATTGACAGTCGTATATTATTTTGGAATATTAGAAATACCTCTTTTCAGAGAATTTGGAATTTGCATCTCAGCAAAGGACTCCCCAGCAACGGCGTTTCCCAGGGCAAATGCCTTCACTGCGTTCACAATTTGGTAGACTGAGGTGATTTAAATGTGACGCGCATTATATAATGATCCAGGAGCACTGGATGACTTTTAACCACAGACAGTATACGAGTAGCAATAGTATAATGATTTTTCCAACTGCCGATTGCAGGTACTCCAGTACAGTCTATATTCTTCAGCTTCTGCGAGTGCACTGCCACTTGCTCAGTACGTATTCAAAATCGAGTACTCGAACGTAGTGCTCAAAAGGGATCGAGCTGGAGACACTGACATGCTTCACAACCGCTGCATATGGATAACAGTCGAGGGTTCTGATCTATTCGTCTCGTCGGCAATTTACGGAATTTGTGTACATTCAACCGAAACGAGAGAACAGTCGCTTGTGAGTTCAATGCACATTTCCTGCAGATGACCAGACACTAGTGTGGTACTTCAAGTGACAAAGCTGGCATCTGTGACTAGTGGTATATGACTCATATAATATGAGGCTAGTCAGGTACGGGCCTTCGATTCGTTAATTGGTGATTCCACACGCCTGAAGTGAAGACAACACTGTCATCAGATAGTTCCAGCTGACAAGCTTTCTTCCAAGTCCTATTCGGTATTCCCAAAAAAGACCGCGAACTCCAAGTTGAATGATGCCCGGGGAGGTTTGTTCTGCGAAATGGTTGGAAAACTTGACGTGAATCAAATCGATACATGTTTATTCGTTTAGGACCAACGTGAGAAGATAAATTAGTTTTCAACAAGTTGAGGGAGAATGCATCAAATATACGATTCTTAACTCTTTGTCTAGAGGATGTGCCTCCTTTTTAAAAAAACATTCCACGTACTGCGACAAACATCCTCCTTGATGACGCTGCAGGATTTCCAGTGTGAGATACATGTCAACTCAACGCAACGCTGTTGCGCATCAGGTGAGAGATGGTTTCAGGCACTTTGCTTGATATTAAACCGGAATATCTAATATCTTCGGGTACATATATTCTAATGACCTTCACTGCGATAGCAGTTTGAACCAGATCTTTTTTCATCACGAAGCATTCTGGCAGAAAAAGTAAAACTCTTAAACCTACTTATACAAATACTTCCTGAAATCCCAAGTAACTTATTATAAGTTGTTTCCTTCGTATTATAGTAAAGTTCAACTGGCTTAAGAATTGAAATTGGTAACAAGGCGTGGGTGACGGACATCGAATCACCTGTTCGTCTGTGTTTCCCGTTTCCTCTTCCTCCTATACTGCATAATGCGGCCCCTTAGTGAATTGTTAAGACATCGATATTATGGTTTCGGACAAGGGCTGGAGATAGTAAGAGCACCTTGCATTTATGAAGATCGGATATGAACGATCATAAACATATTACAGCTCAAAGGAAGTATACCGAGAATATTACCGCCCTTGTGAGCTGACACAAGTGGTTAACTTTTGTGATGTCATGAAATCTTAAATTACGAAGCAGAGTTGGAACCAATGAACAGGAAGAGTTCGAAAATAGGAAGAGGACGAAAAACCAAAGAGCTCCTCGCAGAGCGGAGGAGAAAACATATGGAACAAGAGCATTACAAATTACACGTTTCCTGGCACACAATGAAATAACCTGTAATTAGGGTCGTTAATAATTCTCAAAGTTTTAGTGCACACACGTTGTCAATGACATGCAGACTGCTGAGAGAGAATTCCGATCATCGACGCGTGCAGAGAGAGACTCAGATATCAACCAAAAGCTTTCTGATGCTCAGACTCTGCAGTAAGCGCCAATCTGCAGAATATTCACATTCATCTCTCACGTCTCCTTCGAATTTCTAGTGTATTGTACAATGTACCCACGCTCTATTGACGATCAGCCTGCTCGACGTCTAGGGCCTCATGCTGCTTCTTCAACCGCAATTCGACTATTAAAACTATTAAAACACTGTTCCATAATTTTACAGTTTAGAAATCATGCCGGGCAGAAGAACGAGCGATTCTTGATCTACACAACGAGACGACTCAGCTCGAAGGCTGAGCGACATCGGGTTCAGAATTTACTTACAGATGGATCACAACGACTACGACATCGCTCTAATAGAGAAAGAGGAAGAGGGCCTTCGAGGTACACGAGGTTCGGCCGCGCGCTGTCCTCGACCATTTCTACCTACAACTACTGCTACGAAAGCCATGAATGTGCTTGTGCTGGCTCTACAATTTCTTATACACGCGGTCTACGATATCGACCTTCCAGACAGAGCGTGCGTTCAGCAATGGGCCCAGATCGGCAAATGCGAGAGGTCGGCGAATCAGCGATCGTAGTATGCTCGAGGAAAAGGCTCGATTCGGGCTAGCTAGCCTTGGGGCTCGTCCACGAGGGGCCGATCGTCGTGACGACGGAAGGTGGGCACGGGCTTGGAGCGGGGAATGGGGGGGAGGGGAGCTTCGAAGGCCAAAATCTGCAGAACCTGGCGCATGGACGGGCGCGCAGTGGGGTCGGGGTGGCAGCAGAGCAGGCCGAGCTGCAGCACCAGGCTCATGTGCGTGTCGTTGAAGCGGCCGGCGAGGCGCGGGTCGGCGGCGTCGAGCAGGCGGTCGACGCGGAAGAGGTTCCAGACCCAGTCCACGAGCACGACGATCTCGGCCTGCGCCCCGGCCTCGGCGCTGAGCGTGAGCGGGCGGCGGCCGCAGGCCGTCTCGAGCGCCACCACGCCGAAGCTGAACACGTCCGATTTGTCGGTGGCCTTGCTCGAGTGCAGCAGCTCGGGCGCCAGGTACCCCAGAGTCCCAGCGGTGGCCGTGCTCTGGGGCGCTTGGCTGTGCGCGTAGAGCCTCGCCAGCCCGAAGTCACCCAATCGAGCATTGAGCCCGGCGTCCAGCATGACATTGGACGATTTCACGTCGCGGTGCACCACGCGCTGCTCCCAATCCTCGTGCAGGTACTGCAGCGCCGTGGCCACGCCGGCCAGGATTTTGACTCTCTGCGCCCAGGCCAGGGCGGGCGCCTCTCCTCTCGCCTCCTCGGCGCCCTCGCAAGAGAACAGCGCCTGGTCCAGGCTGCCGTGGGGCATGTACTCGTACACGAGCAGGAGCTCCTGGCGCTCGAAGCACCAGCCGAGCAGCTGCACCAAATTCTTGTGGCGCAAACGCCCGATGATCTTCACCTCGGCCACGAACTCGCGAGCGCCCTGCTTTGAGGTCTCGGAGATGCGCTTGACCGCCACCTGCTGCAGGCCCTTGCCGCGCAGCACGCCGCGGTACACGCACCCGAAGCCGCCCTTGCCCAGCACCTCCTTGGCGCTGAAGCCCTTGGTGGCGGCGCTGAGCTCCTTGTACTGGAAACGTCGAGGGCCATAGTCGAGGCCCTCGAGCTCCTTGAGCGAGAGCCGCCCCGAGGACCCAGTATCCTTAGAGCCGGCCATGGACGCCGCCCTGCGCCCCTCGTGCAGATAGCGCCGGCGCCAGAGGCCGATGCACACGCAGAGCAGGAAGAGCGCCACGCCCGTGGCGCAGACGATGACGGCCACCACGAGCCAGGCCTTGGTCCTTCGGTGCGGCTCGGCCGCGCTCGCATCCTCCTCCAGGTACTCGAACATCCAGAACGTGATGCGGAAGCTGTTGCTGGCACCCTCGCCAGTCGCCGAGCTGAACCCGACGTACATGTCGGGCCCATTGTAGTAGAAATTCACGCTGTCCAGAATCGAGATGCTGTGCTTGAGCAGCGCCTGCTCGGAATTCGAGTCGAACTCCGGGCTCGCGCCATTCTTCGCCGCCTCCTCGAGGTTGATCTCCGCCAGCCCCGCCGAGCTGTCCCAGCTCATCCACGCGCTGTACAGAGTGCCCGGCTCGATCATCGGGAACGTCGCGGCCGCATTCGCATCGTCGTCCTCGTGCGACAGGCTCTTGTACGCGATCGACTGCAGCGATGTGATGTCCACCCCGACGTGGTGGTAGGGCGGGTCTGAGAATTCCTCCTGCTGCCTCGTGTCGATCTCGGCCGCGAAGCTGCTGGCCTGCGTCGGGGCCCGAGGCGCGCCATTCAGCAGGCCCAGGTACCCTCCGGTCGAATTGGGCTGGCCCTCGGCGCCAGGCACGATCATGAAGGTCATGCCCTCGCCCAGGCCCTTGCCCGTGCCCGTCTGGTCGAATGCATAGAACTGGATCACCGATCGGAACGAGGTGATGTACTTGAGCTTGGGATATTTGGGGCTATTCTTGACGATGGCCAGAGGCTGGTTGTAGACACAGCTGCCGTACTCAGGCGCAGCCTCGCTGCTCGTCAAATGCAGCTCCGTGTACGTGTATGCGTCGCCGCTGTCGTGATCCGCCGACTGCACGGTGGCGTGCACGACGCTGGCGTTGTTCGAGCACGTGAAATACTCGTCGGTGAAATTGCCCTCGAAGCGCAGCCTCCTCACATGGTAGCCTTCGGGCGGGCTCTCGAACCAGTTCTGACTGCCTTGCCCCGACGCCCTGTGCAGCAGCAGCAGAAGCACGGCGGTCATCAGCAGCAGAAGAATGCGGCTTGCCATCGATCCGGCAGCATCTCCAGCGCTCCTCCTCCTCCTCCTCATGGCCCTCCTCACCCGGCCATCGCCTCGGGACCTGCTCTGCTCCGCCTCCTCCTAATGATAATAGTCATTTCGAGAAACATGAGCTCAGGCCTCAAAGTGGCATCCGATTCGAAGTCTGAGTACATTCTTCTCTAATAACAATGAGCGCCTACACCTTCCTCTCCCCCGCCGCCAGGACGAGATCAAATTCGCACCGAGCTCGAGCACGGGCTGCGGACTCTGAACAAACCATGAGCGGCAGTAGCAGCAGCAGGGGGGGCGATGGTGTTTGTAACTATTAGACTCGGACCTAAAAGCTTAGGCTGAACCTGCACATGACCGTGGCACGTCGCAAGGAAGTCTGCCAAGGCAGCTTCGGTCGACCTTGTCATTGTTGGACTCATTGCAAGCAACTCTTCCTGAGCCTCTCTGATGGCGAAAAGCTGAGACAGAAGCCCGGTACGATGTACACGAGCTCGGGGGAGGGAAGGAAGGAAGGAAGGAAGGAAGGAAAGCTCAGGGCTCTTCTCGTACTTTCTGCGGGGGGTTCACTATGACATCGTCGGATCGATGTGTAAGTGCTGAGCTACTACTACTACCACTACCACTAGCGCCACCAGTGTACTTTCCAGATCGTGTTTATGATTCCCTCTGTATTATTCATTACGAATGCTGCAGGCAGATAACACAACCCTCGCACATTAAATCACTCGAGTGCACTCGTTCGGGCAACTCGGAACCATGCAAACGTGATCTACTGTTAACACTCAGAATCAGACGTCACATTATCCCCTCATTAACTCTGCGAGACCTACCCTTGCCATGCAGCCAGCCTACCCCCAGACCCCTAAGTGCGCACTCCCAAGCGCAATCAGACACCACTGCTACTACCACTGTCCCCTTCAAAAGCTCAAGCGGGCTCATGCTTCCGATGGGTATGAATGATGGCATTTTGCCTGTGTAAGAATGTCATCAGAACCCCCTCTCGGTGTCACCTTCACTCTCATAATTCAACACTGCTCGCTGGCTCGGGTCTCCAGACTTTCCCCCCGCAGGTTGAATTTGCCTTCTCCAATTGCAAATAATTAGCCCACAGCGAAAATCATCACCTCCCCGTCCCGGTCATGGAAAGACAGCCATCACGATACCGAAGGCTTTGACCGGAACAGGGGACTGACTCACACTGGCCGGTCCCGACGACCTGCTGGCGTGACCGACAGCAACCGATTGCTGGATGCTGACCCCTGGTACTCGAGCCATTCGACCGCGGTTCCGCTCACGAACCGAAGGTCCAGGAGGTTGGATTCGACGTCGCATGGTCGTCTTCTGTGGAACCAGCAGTCGCCGCGCACGGAGCCTCGAGGCTGCCCAATGACGGGGCCATCGATTCGTTGGATCTTCTGACAGTTCGAGGAACCGAGGAGTCTTCGCCGGTCGTCTTCCGAGTGGGGAGTCGGACAACCGTTGGGGAGTCGATGCCCCGACGGGGCTCACGAGATCCGGAAGATAGAGGAAATGGATTCTTCGTATCCAGCTCTTCTATGCTTAACGAAGAGGTCGAGACCCGCCGATTGTGACTGGAATGCGCTAGCGAGATCTGGAGCGTCGAATGCCGACTGACAGCAGACATTATTGGAAGCAGCGTCAGCCTCAGTGTAAGGAAGGAAGCGAGCGAGAGAGCGAGCGAGCAAGTGAGTGAGTGCTCGAGGGCATGATGAGAGTGAAATGATTGACCGGGTAGAGATCGAGAGCAACTGCAGTCCTCCACTTTGCCGCATTGCCAATCACTACCCTTCTTCAAGCGAATTCGTGATACCATCGAGGAATCATTGTGAAGAGAAGTTGTCTCCCTTCTTAAATCGTTCCCATCGTGATGCTATTGGGGGATGGCTAGCTCCAATAGCCCCAATTTTACTCCCCTGTGGATGATCCCGTCTACGACTTCAGGGGTTATTTCTACAGTACTTAAGGTGTATTTTCACCTCCATTACTCGTTCTCCACTCTGATAGCGCAGTTCGTTCGTGCTTGTTCTTCTAAAATAAAAAACTGCATATTTACATTGATTGGATTTGCAAAGTGGTGTGGATGACATGAATGATGTCCACGGCTGTTGAGCCCCTCCTGGTGAATGAAACTATAAATTTTTATAATATCAAAAGTTTATGAATAGTTACATTCATAAACTTACATACGTAATTATTTCACGAATGGGAATTCCCATATGCTGATAATGTGGAGTATGGCATCAGTTCAGAGATTCTCAGGCATGCATGAACGTACAGGCGTAGCCAACAGCGACACCCGAGTCCCGACCAGCAGGTTGAGAACGTCGAACAGAACGTGGGGACGAGCACGGGACGAGCAGTTTCAGCTTATCTAGAGATGCGTTGCATGGCGTTGAATAGTTAGTGAATCAAAGACGTACCAGATCATGATCATCGTTCATCTTGTGATTCAACTCTTGGTCTCCGAATGTTGCTTTCCACCGGAAGGCATTGGGAAATATTAAGACGAAAGGGCTTGCACTCGGTTGTCCCGGTAAAAAGCAACTTGCTTCCACATGCGTTCTATGCATGCTACCTGCAGTCGCCGGTAACATGAGATGTACGTCGACCCATAAACCCCTGCAGTGTAAACTCGTATGCAGTTTGGAAACCATGAATACCAAATTAAGTAATGTTGTACTTCTTGACATTGTCGTTATTACTGTCCTCATATTGACCGGAGCGTTAATTCCTGCATTTTAGGCAAAACACGAACAAGAGTTCGTTAAGAGAAGAAGTAAGTCCAGATTTGGTAATGTTCTGGATTTGCCCTTTCCGTCTTTGCACAGGTTTTGCATCACACTCAAGGTTCTCGTCTTTTCCTCACTTCTCGTGTTCAATTTTGGAACCTTCTTTCCCCAGTTCAAGTGCACGACCAAATTTCAGATATTAGCGACAACAGACAGAAGGATGTCGTCATGGAGAAGTCAGCACAAACATGAAGATTAAATACGTTGCAGTCGAAAGTAAACTCTGTGCTAACTTTTTCGATCACCTCCAGCCCACAGTTGCAGAACCTCATCGGATCACTGCTCTAGTATGACATCAGTCAGAAAAGGAAGATGTCAAGGCCCCCCATCGTGGAGTACAAGGTAAGAGAAACCACAAGAAGACAACGTGACCAACGGGTCAGGTCAAGGAGGAGTAATGTTTCTCACAGCAAATTTCATTAGATACTAAACGATCTATGTTTGGAATAATAAAAAAATATTTATCTTAACTCCAAAAGTAGGTAGTTTTCATTTATGCTAATGGAGCCTAGCCCCATCGGCTTCATCCTTTTACCACTCAATGTATGTTCTTTTCCGCTATCTGATGCGCGCATTATTACTAAACATCTGTAACTTCTCTAAGAATTTCTCAATTCTCAAGCATGTGGTGTATAACTATATTTGTAACTAAAATATACATATATATTCATATTTATATTGTGAAACCCAGGTTCTTGCCTTCCGCAATCTGATCGCCGGTACTTTCTGTCTGACCTCGCATGATAGAAAAAGAGAAGTCTTGGCTAAATTAGAAATAACATTATTTTAAACCTGTCTGTAATCCGAGCTGGACATGAATGATGAATGAACATTAATTTAGAGATGTCTTAAACAAACACACAAGATGACATTTGCGTCACAGAACGATGGAAAGATCAGAAGTGGACATCAGACCAGACGACGTTGCAGTAAACAATTGAGCGACTGTGCCTCCAGTCGTCAGAGTTTGTGCTCTGCTCAGAGCTTGCATCTCATCATCTCTCCCATCATTTATATCTCGGTAACAACGCCGGTCTTGCATCCAGTTCAGCCGGTGCTTAGGGCTCTATGCCTACAGCCTTCAGGCTTTTCCCTTCATCATTCCACCCTACATCACTTTCACCTTTAGCTAGCGCACTTTCCCTCTCTTTAGCCCAACATTTCAAAATTTTAAGCCTGACCATTCTCGTTTCCTCCGCACTCTTTCGTTCTAACTTCCTTCTCTACAACCACTGACTGCACTGGACATACATTCTCGTTCTCAAATATCTTCCACGAAACTTCAGCACAATACATCTAAATGAATACCTAATTGATTTCAGTACATTACTCCATTTGAGGACGACTTCATTTCTTGAGACCTCCAACTGAAATTGTGAAGGGTTCTAAGCTCCAAAACAATGTATACGAAATAAGTGTAAATGTTATTTCCCCGTGAATATGAGGAAATTCATGCTGGACAATGAGGTGATGGACCACACTAACACCGGACGAAAATTAGAGAGATTGATTGTTATACTCTCACCAATCACAACTTCTAATACTGCAGTGTATTATACTCAAATTAGAAAGGAATGTTTATACATAAGCCAAGATACACCAACTTCACCTTGCCACACATAATACCATACAAACCCTAGGAATTTGGTCAATGGCCTTATACACTAGAGAGAATATAGAATCTACAGTGAGAAGAATTTTTTTTAAAGAGTTGTAGACCCATAGAAAAGTCGCTGTATAAAGAAGAAGACAAGACTTGTTCTTTTATAACTCCAGGGTACACAAAATCCCTTGCCCATTGTGTAGCTATATGAGCGCCCCTTCTCTCTACACATGGTTCTAGGTCTATCTGGTAACATTATGTGCAGACTGCAATCTTCATAGGCTTACTTCCAGGTGTAGTCATAACAAACCTCACATTCTTGACAAGAAGAATGAATGCTCTTTCGACAGTTCAATCCAATTCCATGTACCTGGAGATATACCTAAAGAAAGTAAACAAAGCAAGTGAGAAAACAAGGAGAATCCCGAAGTATGGGATTTTATCTGAACAGCTTGTCTGAACACGCCATCATTTGATAGTTAAGATGTTCATCAAGTCATTAGAATTTTCAATATAGATATTGTGTGCATGCTCTCTAGATCGTGCCGGGATCTATAATGGGGAAAAGCAACCCTTGCTCCATTTGAGGCATCAAGTGAGTGTCAAGGATATGCTCATCTTTCTAGCAAACAAGAAACTAGAATTGCTATTGTCAGAATCTTAAAGTAAGTTCGCTGGACATAGAGGCACAAGTGTTGTCATTGTCACCACTGATGTAGCGGCATCCTTACTTAGTTAGTGGGACATAACAGATGACACTGTGAAGTAATTATGTCGTCAGCGCACTTGCATCGAAATTCCCAACACTGCTGCTAAGAATTTTAAAATAGGTCTTATTGAATAGATTTCAAATTAGTGCATATTTGAAAGCTAGTTTTTGAAACTGAGTATTTGCGGGTGGATATGGTGGAGAGTAGATAGTGAAAAAATTATTTGTTAAGCACAAAGTGGGCTTGGCTGAACAGTCCAAATGAGACATATAGGGCCTGAGACAC